TGTGCCGACTCACTTAGCCATGTCTCATGTTGTACCTGTGCCTGGAACTTGGAACTGCTATTGTCAGTGCTGTTGTCAGTTTCTTTTTTTTTTTTTTTTTTTTTTTAATTTTTATTTAAGGAGAAAAGAAAAGAAAGAAAAAAAAAACAGTGAAGGGGTACAAGTTATACAGATTTACAGAAGAAAAAAATGCGCAGTAGGAAATCACTAGTTAATGGATTACATATTGCCATCTTAGAAATAATTGGTCAGTTTCTTAACTACTGACTCTGGTTTTGAAATTCTTCAAGAGATAAGCATTATGACTTCCTGAACAATAGAAATGACGTAAGACAACTTATAGAAATAAGAAATCATCTTTTGGGGCTGGCGCATAGGGGCAAGCAGGCAGTCGTCAGTTCGATCCACGGTACCGATAAAAAAGAAAAAGACAAAAAAAAAATCATCTTTTTTAAAAGTAAGTTTTAAGATGAAATTATCAGACTTTTTCAAGTGAAAGATTTAATGTCGAGTATTTGTACCAGATCAATATAATAGTTTTCTCATAGAAAGCTTATGCATTTTTATAGGAAACAGAAAATGTGTTACTCATATACTGATTTACAAGTAGAATGTACTTTTTGGTTTGTAAGCAAAAGTTTTACCTCTATTTAATTTCTAAATTCTCATTTAAGAAAATAGCTTTAGTTCAGCCAGATTTGTTTAGTTGACTTAATGTCATAGGTTTTGTTTTATTCAGGAAAAAAATTCTAAAAAAACTAATTTCAGTATAAAGAAAATTTTAGTTTTAATAGTGGTGACAAGCCGTGAGAGTTCCAAATGGCAACATTTTTCTCAGTACTTAACACTTGCTAATTTATTTTCCAGTTTCAGCAAATGTGCTGAAACTTTCCTTGTTCCTTTTTCTGATGTTGACTCTTAATTATAATAAGCAGCTGTGGTTTGCAAGTGGTGGATACATTTGGCATTTGTTTTTATGGGGATGGAGGGAGGCTTCTTGTAGAAAATTTCCAGGCTGTTCATTTCATTGGAGTTTTTATCAGGTGGAAAGTATGGAGCACCTGGTACTTGCTATTTTTGCCGTTAGCAGATGACAACCATCATAAAATTAAGCAGCAATACGTTGTAGGCTTGTATAGCAACTGTAGTCTCACATACTGCAATTACTTAAAAAATATCCTACAGTTCTGGCTAATAGAGCTAAATTGATAGAAAATACTTAGGTGATGACCTTTAGTAAGAATCATCTAATTTCAAATTGTAAATTGAAATTTTCTTTCTTTATAGAATGCCAGTGATTAACCCAAAGCAAGATTACAGAAAGAGAATACCATGTTGGCAGGATTATGGTACAGATTTTTCTTTTCTTTTTCTTTTTTTCTTTTTTTCTTTTTTTTTTTTTTTTTTTGTCTTTTTCATTTTTATCGGTACCAGGGATCGAACTCATGACCGCCTGCTTGCAAGGCAGGTGCTTATGCCGCTGAGCTAAATCCCCAGCCCCGGTACAGATTTTTCTAAAGAAAAAATGTAGGCAGATTCTCTATGAAAATAAATATCCCACTAAGTTAACAAAAAAATTATTTTATTTGGTCCAGATTTTTTTTGTTGTTTTCTTTTTTGGTATCAGGAATAAAACTTAGGGCCTCATGCTTGCCAGGCAGGTACTGTGTCACTGAGCTGAATCCCTGGCTCCTGGGTCCGATTTGAATTTCACAGTTCTAAACAATACAAAAAAATTATCTTAGGAGATGTACATTATAATTTGATTCACAGTACAGTGCAGACATTCAGTACTGTATGATCGTTGTATTACTAGGCTTTAAATTTCTATTTTAGATGTTATTTCTGGAACTTTTGTATCATCTCTTTAGAGCTTTTTGATTTATTATTATTCATGAATCAAGTTTGAAGTTTCATGTCTTTTGACACTAATAGTCAAAAATGATGATTTTCCCCCTTTTTCAAGAGACTTCCTCCTCCCAAAGTCACATTCTCTTGTGCTCTTTGAATTGTTTCTGACAGCAGAATTCAGCTACTGGTTAAAATTCAGCTACTGAAATAGGGTTGTGTGAAAGACCTGGAGAACCAGATAAACACCATTGTTTATAAACGTACAAGTTAAATGTTTGCCAGTTTTCATTCCCATGGCATTGTGAAATAGGCTAGATATCTTCTTTCCTTGCCTCTGGGCATGTCGGATGGTTTCTCTGGGTCAGAGTATTGTACCAGCATCATCTGCCACAGCAACTTTAGGAGACAGCTGATGAACAAGCTCATTGCCGGGAGTTCGGGGGCTCTAGGACATTTTCCAGAACAGTTGTAACAGTCTTTCAAAGGGAGCTTATGATTCAGTTTATAATGCTTCATTGAGAAATTAGTGTACTAATTGTACAGTTACTGTTGTTGCAAGCTTCAAATCTTGTCCATACAGATTGGAAGGTACCACAGTGCAACATTTGAAGATGTTAGTGTCAATGAAAATGTGTACTCCAAAAACAAATGGTTATCCAGTATCACCAAAATAGAAAATAACTTTAATAGCCAGCGTTTAAAAATCCAGTACCTACTTTATCATTTAGATCAGGCTGGATCTTAGCCTACCCATTTATGAATATCTTTTGAGAATAAAGTATAAAAGTTCAAAACCTCATCCAAGGGTTTTTTTGTTTTTTTATTTTTCTCTTAAAAGACAAATCCGGGACACAGTGAATTGGATTTTCAGTGAGCAAATGCTAGTTTACTACATTAGTGTTTTCCGGGATACTTTTTGGCCAAATGGAAAATTGGCACCACCAACCAGAATCACAAGCAAAGCTCAAAGTCAAGAAACAAAACGGAGAGCTCAACAAAAACTACTTGAAAACATTCCAGGTGAGGCCCTGGGGTTTTACAGAGATTTGTTGGCTGTATCAAGATGTTTTTATATCTTTCAAAAACATTTTTTAAAAATCACACTTTTTTCTTTTAAGCCATTTCTCATTACGTGCTAAAAAGTTACATTGAGAATCTTAGAACTGTTAACTAAGAAAGTGTTTTATAGCAAGTAATATATTTTCACTTTAGAAATAGCCTAAAGTATATTATAAAATTTGAGAAATATGGTAAAAATATATTAACTTTAATTGTTAAAACTAGCAGTAGCAATATATTAAGACTATAGTTTCTATAAATGCTTCATGTTGGAAAATTCTGTATTTTTCTTTTGAAACATTTGCACACCCATTGCCATTTATGTTCCTTATGCCTCTCTTCATTGCTGTTATTTACTGTGTAGGTGTCACATAATGTCCCACTCACTGAATAGGCATCCTGTATTTTATCAGTGTCAACATGGAATAAAAACTTACGTTTCAGGGCTAGGGTGTGCCTCAGTAGTAAAGCACTTGCCTAGTGTGTGCAGGTTTCTGCGTTTGATACTCAGCGCGACAAAAATGAAAAACGTATTTTTCAGATACACTTCAGAGCCTTCTGGGACAGCAAAATGCCCGCCATGGAATAATAAAAATATTCAAGGCACTGCAAGAAACAAGAGCCAATAAGCATCTGTTATATGTGAGTAAATTAAAGCCTCCCAAAGGATGAACTATTTCTTGGATTTTCTATTTCTGTTCACATATTGCAGATTTTAGTGCTTTACATTCTAATTATTACTGACAACTCTGAACCTCTTTTCTCTGCTTTATTTTGTCTATTTGGTTAAAAAGAAAAAATGTATACATGTACACACCCACTCACACTCGCTCACAAAGGCAGCATTCTCATTCTTGAGTACTGGTTGGCTTTCATGACTTCTCACACATTTCTGCATGGTTGGTGTTTTTATTTTGGCAGAGCAAACTGTTTGCCCATCGTCTTTCTCATTATAGTATGGTTTGATGTGGTTAATAGACCATGAAATAAATGGTTTATATAATATTGTTTTGGTCACTTGTTTAGTGAGAATCTCAAAACTAAAATTAGACTTTTCTCTTAGACATACTTATTTTCAAACTCTTGGAGGAAAAAAAAAAAAAACCCACAACTTTTTTGTTTTCCTTTCCTTCTGTCTTGTGCAGGTGCTAATGGAACTGCTGCTAATTGAGCTGTGTCCTGAGCTGAGAACTCATTTAGATCAGCTGAAAGGTGGCCAAGTTTGAGTTGCACAAATAAACCCGAGAAATGTCTGTGTCATAATAGACATGAAACATGTTTCCTCTTTTCCACAGAGGGCTTGACTGAGAACCATACTTATTTTTATTTTAGTTATATCCCTCTAGTTTTATGTGAAACAAGGAGAATTGAGGAGAAGGGCAACTTGATGCTACGCTAAGCAACAAGAAAAAGGATTCTGCATATTGATTTTTATTTAAACAATATAAATACTTTAAAGTTCAGTATATTGATTGAAATACAAATGTTAATATGTGATAAGAAGTTAGGAAATATTTTAAATATTTATGAAAACAGTTTTGTTTTAAAATGAAGAACTATGACTTCTGTACAGTAATTTCCTCCCTGAGGACTCTGAACATTCCTATATTATTTCATGCATATTGAAGAATATTGTTGTGCAATGCTTTGTGTAAAGTTACTGTGAAAATTTTATTGTTTTTATTTTTACCAAAGATTTCCCATAGTTTGAAGCATTTGAAGCAATAAAATATAAAAATGAATCACAGTGCTATGATGTTTAAGATGCTTTAAAAAAAAAAAAAAAACAACACTTGGGCCATTCAAAATAGCTGTGTGCTTTTTCTTTGGCAGAAAAACATTGTCCTCTTAAGTACCTCTGCAAGAAAGTAAAAAGTTCGCTGCCTTTCACCAGAAACAAAGTAAACATCTGAAATACACGATTTTTTAGTGTACAAAAGGAACCAAATTAGTGCTTAAATATGAGGCCTTAGATCGATATGAGCTAAATCTTGGAAGAATGACACTGGGAAACAGAAACAGGAGGAAAATTGTTTCAGAGAGCTTAAGGACTTGGCATACTTATAGCTGACAATGGGCATTAGGAGAGGTGCAGAGTACAGAATTTTATTGTTGTTACTGATAGTGGGGCTATGAACAAGTCAATCAATTTCCAGGCTTCATCATCTGATAACACAATGATAAAATACCTTCCCCATTCTGGTTCCTAGAAATAGCAGAAACAAAACAGTTTAGTTAAAAGGTAAAAATTCAGTTTGAATCTATAAAAGAAAAACACTAAGTATATTAAAATATAAAGATTATCTCACTGATAGCTCATACCTGCCAAGTTCTTGATAAGAAACAAGTTGTGAAAGGTAAATGAGTAAAACTTAATACGCCGAATTTTGTCTTTGTGATTCTTCTAAATTACAGGTCTTTGATTGTAACTAGATATTTGACACTTAAAAATAACCCCAAGTTGGATGTTTATATGCATAAGAATTATCCTGTAAAGGGTTGTTGAATAGACCATTTAAGATACATTCAGGGAAGAGAAATAATGTGAAGTTACCAAGCCCCAAGAACTCATGATAACACAGTTACGGGAAACGTGTCTCTTAGTAACAGTCGAAATAAATTTTACAGAAGTTTAGATTTTTTTTAAGAGTAAATCTGGAAGCTTCAACTCTCTTGGGTTAAACACTTACCTCCATTCACAAGGCAAGGTTTACACTGCTATCTGCAGTGTGGTAGTACTGTGCAGATGCCAGATTGTTAGCTGCAGAACATAACTACAGTAAGTGGAAATGGGACCATAGGCATATTACCACATATTCCTAACGATTAGGACTTCTGAGAACTGTATTTACTTTTTATTGTTTTTGCGGTACGGAGGATTGAAGCTGGGGCCTCATCCTTGCTATGCAAGTGCTTCTCCACTGAGCTACACCGCTGGCCTTGAGATCAAGAGATGATGGTCTAGTGATATAAATAAGCCAGACCATAAAACTCAAGTACTTTTCTTCTAGTGATTGTCACCTGTATATTATCCTCATACCTTAGTACTCAACTGCTTTGAAACTTGTTGAATCTAGTACTCAAGACATTTTGACAAACATTTTGTCCCAGTACTCATTGGTTTGGTACTCTACACAAGCTGGAGTTTGTCAGTGTGGATTTCCTCAACTGCCTCGTGACTCCCTGTCCTTTCTAGCCAAAACAATTTGTTACTCATTATTTTTGGTACTTGTCTTGCCTTCTGGTTACAGTTAGCGACATGTGACAGGCACTATTTCTGTTTCCCTACCACTAAGAAGAAACCTTGTTTAAATCCACCAAAAAAGGGTATTATTATGATAATGAAATAATGCTGTATCAACTTAATGTATTTACCAGAAAAAGGACACTTAAGGTATTTTTAAGACATCACCTTTGTTTCACAAATACGTACTTGTTATACAGTCTAACAGCCAGCTACCCAGCTTGAAGCATTTTCTTAAACTCACTTTTGCAAAAATTTATAATGGATAACAATTTATTTATTAGAATTTTTAACAACTTCAGAAGCAGAAATGTTATACACTTATCAAAAATGTTACTTGATGGTTCTGATTCTTTAAATTTCTTCAGCTGTACTTAATTTTGTGCAGTTTTAAAAAATTTATTCATTTTTATTTTTGTGTTGGCCTTTTTGAGACAGAATTTCACTCTGTAGTTCAGGCTGATTTGGAACTAAATATATAGCCCAAGGTGATCTTGAACTCACAGAAATCCTCTTGCTTCAGCCTCCCAAATGCTGAGAGTACAGGCATGAACCACCATATCTAGCTCAATTCTGATAACTCTTTAAGTGTCAATGCTAAAGCAAGCATCCAGGCTGAAATTTAAAGTCTCCTGAGGTGGGATTAAAGGGGCATGCCACCATGCCTGGCCTTGTATTTTTATTAGTACATGTTTGTGGTATATTATGACTGCACTCCTCATGGATAGTTGGAATATGTACATAACACATCTTAGTTCTTTTTATATTCCCTTCTCTTACCCCTCCACTTATGGTCCCCCTTTCCCATCTGCCGAAAGATCTATCTACTATTTCATCTTAAAATGTTTAAATGAGTGAAGCAAAAATTAGAACAATGTATTATTCAAAATTCACAAAACTAGCTGGACACTGTGGCTTACACGTGTAATCCCAGCACCTGGGAGGCTGAAGCAGGACCTGGGTTACACAGCAAGATCCTGTTTCAAAAACAAAAAATTCACAAGACTAGAAGCCAAAGAAGTTTTTTAATCTTTGAAACATCATTTAATCAAATGATATTTTAATTAAGTATGTAGCATTTATTTTTGAGACTTCATAAACTAAAACTGCTAAATCTTCTCAGGCACTCTGTTTAAGAAAATTAAAATGATATTTGTTTTACAAATAGTTTCAAATTTAATATAATCTAGGCGTGGAATAGGCCACGAAGGGCATCTCTGAGCACTGTTTAGTGGTCTGATCCAGTGGTTAGGTTTCAGGTTACAGGACACAAATTTTAAAATGACAGTAACATGTCATCTGTTAAATACCCAGGAAAATACAACAGGAAGCAGACAATAACAGTCAGGTGCTATAAAAATACACACATTGTATGGTGTTAGGATTGATGATCTTTGTTGAAATGCAATGTGGTCTAAATTCTTTGACGAATAGCTAAGCAGTGAAGTTCATTTGCCAATGCAGGATTCAGGTGGCAAGCCTTAAAATCAAAGAGATAGTTATTTAGATGCATCCTAATTGTTTAGATCTTTTTCCTTTGTTCTGTTTTTAAGAATAGTACAGTACTGAGACTATTTCGTACTAGAAACAAGAAAATTTCAAATTTAACCTATGCCAAATAGATCGTACACTATTTAAGAGTGACAAAATTTATCAGAACCAAGAAAAAGGTATTTAAGCACTGACGATACCATAACATGCTACAAATTACTGAAGTAAAATGGAAAGCCTTAATATATGGCCTCACTTGCTGTTCATCCCTTACATGAATAGCATCATCTATCATTTATTTTGGAATATGTAGTTCTGTCACACCTAAGTAGTGATAAAGTGCGTAACTTCTAGAAAGTCAAGAATATCGGAGAGATGTTGGAGGTTATCTTGTTCACTCACCTCGTGCAGAAATTTCCCTTTGGTACCCAGGACAGTTGGTCACTAGGTACAGCTTTTGCTTGGTTACTTCTAGTGGCAGTATTATTTAGAAAACTTTTGTTTATTTACCAAAGTTTTATTAGAATATTCTTCCTTGTATTAAGCTGATAATTTAATTACTCCATGTACTTTAGAATCATTGAGAAGTTCTAGAAATACATATTTAGAAACCCTAGGTATAGTAGTTGACAAAGTCACCCAGCCTGGCAGAGGCAGGACAGAGACCAGCATGGCTCTCATGACCTTAGGTCCACGGATGATCATGCTGTCGTCTTCCCTTTTTCCATAAGCCACTGTTGTTAGCCCTAATTGTGCTCTTGGGCCCACAGTTCCTGTTCTCTAGAACAATATTTGTTCTGTGACGATCAGTCTGTCACTGTTGGGACCCTCTTATTTTCTCTTGTTCTAAATAGTCTATTTTTTTTTCTTATGCCTCAAATGACATGATTATTCCAGACCCTTAACTCATTTACTGCCTTTAGTTTTTCTCCATTTTATCAGTCCCATAGTATGTAATGGCCAAATTAGACACTGTATTTATTCTACAGGCCATCTTTCTAGGACAGAATGATGGGAATATTGCTTCCCGTTATATGGCAAATAGTTCCAACACTGCGATCTGTTTTGTTGCTTTTTGTACAACCACCTTTCAGGATATTTTTACCTAGAATTTTGTCTGATAATATTTAGAATACTGAGGGTACTACTGAAATTGACTTTAGAAATTAGATTAGTTTAGAAAGTATCTAGAATATAAAGTTAACATAAATAATTTTTTGATCATTATTCTTGTCAACGAAACAGTGTAGCAGTGAATATCCCAAAGGTCACTGTATATGTTTGTGTACTTTATTCCTATATTTATGTATTTATATGGTTTTGGAAGTTTTAATTTAAAACAAGGTATTTAAATTTGCCTGCACATTAGGTCCCCAGGGGAGCTTAAATATGTATACACACTTGCATCCCATTCTTAGACATTGACTTACTTCTACAATCAGACCTCAGCGGCAGAACTTCCAAGTGGTTTTAATACACAGGCAAGTTTAGGAATCACTGCTGCAGTACCAGATTCAGGCAGAATCCTTAGAAAAATATTCCTTGCCTTGTTTCCCTGGCTCAAGCTGATGTGCTACATGAACTGCTTTATACATTTTATTATTGTATACTTCTGATTTGAACTCCTGACTTTTACAGTTTCTTGGGTTTTCTTATAGTTACTATTCATAATGCTTCTCTAACGCCATCGCACTGGTCTTTTAAATTTTTGTTGGTGGTGGTGGTCTTGTATTGTTTCACTGTAATGGAAAATGAACCCAAGGCCTTTGCAATGAGCTGGATCCCTTTTCAAAATTTTTTATTTTGAGGCCAGGGATACAGCTCAGCAGTATAAGCAGCCCCTGCCTGGCAAGCACCAGGTCCCGAGTTTGATTCCTGGTACCAAAAAATATATATTTTTAAATTTGATTGGCTGACTGATTTTGAGACAGGTAGTCCCTAGGTAGTCTAGTCTGGTCTTGAACTTGCAGTGATCATCTTGTCTCAAACATCCCAAGTGCTGGCATTCCATGACAGCCACCACACTCCACTATTTTTTATTTTAAGACAGGGTCTCAGTAAGGTGCCCAGCTAGACTTGAACTTGCAGTCCTCCTGCTTTAGCCTCCCAGAGTGCTGATTAATTGTGTGTGCCACAGTGACCAGTTTAGTTGCTTCTTTTAGATGAGAAATCCTTTGAAATCTAAATAAAGTTACCATGTGAATATGAAAATAAGAAAAGGTAACAATTAGTTGAACTACATGAGTATTCCTAATGGTAGAATACATTAAAAAACTTTTTAAAAATTTATTTCACTTAGATACTAGAATGAAGATACAGGTAACATTTTTTTCTAAGTGAAAAACATGAACTTCTGGGCTTTAAGGTCTTGGTACTAGCCTTAAGGTATAGATGACTATGGGTTTGAAGAGACTGATTTCCATCAAAATGGGACTTTTGGGGCTGGGGGTTTAGCTCAGCGACATTAGTACCTGCCTGGCAAGTTCAAGGTCATGAGTTCAATCCCTGGAACCCTCCCCAAAAAAAGACTTTTTGTCATCTGAATGTAGTTATGCTATTAAGAAATTACTAGAATTGCTTGCAAACAATCTGCATCCCCAACAGCCTTTTGTAGATCGGTTATCTGCTCAATAAATAGAAGAAAACGATCCATGAAATTCAAGTAAAAGCCCAGTAATTTGTGTTTGGATGAATTTCTACTTCGCTCTAAGGCTTACTTTAGAATAATAGTGCTTAGCTGTTGCTTCATCTTTTGTGATGCCCAAGCCAAGCTGAAGACACCGTGCATAGTAGAAAGACGCCATGGCTATGCCTCTGCTGATGAACTCGGGAAGACAGTCCGTGACCTGAACTATCATGGGGATGTCAGAAACTCCATCATAGTCAGCAATCCTGATGGAACATCAGATTGTGAAATTGAAGACGTCAGTTGGGGATTACATTTTTACAAAATGATAGGTCTAGAAGTTATCCTTGTGCTCAAAGCAATGTCTTTACCTCTCTGAGAACTACGTTTTATGCTGTGTGAAGGGTTCGGGGAACAAAGTCAGCTAATACCAGAGGAAGATGAAGAAGCTACCTGACAGCTTCATAACCATCGACAACAAATGGTATGTTTCTTGTAATATTAATATTTTAAGTGTACTATCATTTTGTGGACATAAACTGAATGAGGAAAATAGACTTTTTACTTCTTTGGCTCACATATTGCAACATTAAGTCTAATGGACTAAAGTCACATAGGATTAGAAAACACTAAGAAACTAGCACATCTATTTTTTTAAAAAATAGGCAATAAAAAAGAAGCTATCTTTTATAGCCTAGATACAAGGAGAATCATGTGAAATGAGGTTTGCCAATTCCACATGAACCACAGTGTTAGGGAGAGTAGGGATGTGGAAAACAATGGGAAGTTCCAGGGACTAAAGAACTATTTAAGTACTGGTTTGAATCAGGATCAGTACTTGCTTGGGAACCCTGGAGGACCCCTCCACGCCGTCACCCCGTAAGTGGCCTGCTGGAGCTCCTCCGTGCTTCATCCTCTTGGGGGCTGGGAGAAGGGACCAGGTCTGGATTTCCTAGTTACTGCTTTCATACAGTGTGGACAAATAACAGAAAGCATATACAGCCTGTGGACTCTGAGAAAAGTTTCTATATATTTTATAAGATAAAATTAATCTTTTAACTATTTTATAGCCATGAAACTGTATTTCCATTGTGTAGTATTAGACCTGCATGATTGAGGAGTATAGGAAGAAACTGAGGCTGAATAGATATTTCTGATATATCAATATATGTTAAGTATTTTAAATACACTTTATAATTTTAAAAGATATTTCCTTAGGAAAAAAAGCAATTGATGTTTTAAAAAGGAAACTTTTTTTTTGGACAGGGTCTGCTGGCCTCAAACTCTTGGTGAGCCTCCTGCCTCAGCTTCCCAAGTGCTAGAATTACAGGTGTGCACTACTACACATGGCATTAAAAAGGAAACTTACTTTTGCTAACAGCACTGAAATTATGAAGATTAATAGCACAGAATTGTACCATGTGGTAACTATTAGGCATATGTGGCTGTATAAGTTTAAAAGTTTAGTTCTGAGTTACACGACTCAGATTAAGGGTTCAATTGCCAGCATTCTCAACATTTGTAGAAAATTTAATCAGATCTGTCACAAAACATCTATTAGTTATTTTAAATGCTTTCATCCAGCTTATTTAAATCTTACTGTTATAGTTTGTGTCCCTTGTGAAATTCAGGTTTTGCTAGCATGACAGTATTAAGAGGTAAGTCCTTTGAGATGTGATTAGGTCACAGGGCTGCCCCTCAGAAGGTGAGACTGAGGCCCGCATCCCCGGTTTCTATTCCATTCCCTTAGCATTTTGACTTGTGAGCACAGTGTTCCCCTCCCTGGGATGCAGCGCTTGCCAGCCAGCTGAACCTGGATTCCCAGTCAGCAGAACTGTGAGAAACAAACATATTCATTACCTAACCTGTGGTGTTCTGTTACAGCAATACAAAATGGGCTAGGAAGTCACCTTTTGGAAAATGTAACACACTTTGTAAAGAACTTCATCTTGTAGTAATACTGCACGAGATTCCCTTGTGCGTAGATGTTCCCGCGTTCTGCAGCTTCCCTTAGGCACTGCAGGGCAGCTTCAGTATCCTGGCGAATGCCTTGTCCATACAAGTACATGAGGCCAAGTGCACCCTGGGACTCCAGATTCCCATTGCCACATGCTTCTGAATGCCAATAAAATGCCTAACAAAGAGTACAGTTGCATCATTTTATTATTCACAAAATGAAGTTTCTCTCCAAGTGATATTGGAGATAAAAGGCTCTAATTATAAGATGATGTAATAGGAATTACCAGGAAATAGTTCCAGCCCCAAATGTACTTCACATTGCACTGAGTACGTAGGTCCAAAAGAATGCCAAAGTGTGTGTGTGTGTGAGGCTGGGGGTCTTCCCACAGGCTGGTGAGGTCACAGGCCAGAGAGTTGGGACAGAGGAGGATCAGCCTGCCTAGGTTCCAGGCTTCTCAAACTCTCCAAAGTAAGGCTTGAGAAGGTGTAAAATAGAAATGCAATGAGCGGTTGGGGACCCCTGCCACGTTGCAGCAGGGGAAAGAAGAGCTGCTGGTACTGAGGAAGGCTGGAGAGCTCTGGGGATCCCCGATGGCAGTGCCAGGGTCAAAGACGCGAGGATGAAAACTATGCAAGTCAAGTGCCATAACTTGACGTTCAACTGTGGTAAGTTTGAATGAGTTTTACACATTATTTCCTACTTTGGTTATTGAGAATAGTCGTAATTACCATCTGCCTTTTACTAATTTGCCATTAACTCCTCTCTTGCAAAGTAGACTAGGCACCACATTTTCTTCTTGCTGTAGGAGCTTTGAAAAATGTTCCAATCACCAAGATTATATTTCAGGGAAAATCTTAAATAGATTTAACTTTTAAATAATTCTTGGTATGTTGTACTCATTAGTATCACATACTCCTCAAATCAAAGGCAATACTAATTATGCACACTTAAAAGGAATTGGGCCGTAACTTCAGGACTATCCCTTTCAGCTTTTATGGTGTAATACTTTGTAATCTTTTTTATATTTGGTATACAAAATACTCTCACATCTCTGATGTCCTAGATAAGTAAAAGACATGAAATGAACTAAACTACATACTTTCTTCACATGTTTATGGAAATATAAAAGATACTCAAAACTTTATTCCCCATTGTCTTCTCAAAAAAGTAGTGAAATATTACTTTAAATATAATTCCAAGACTAAAAATGGTTACCTTTTCTAATTCTTTAGGTTCTTTGGTTGAATAATACAGTCCTAAAATACTTTGAGCCTTCACACTGGCTTTGGGATTTCCATTGTCTGCAGCAAAAAGCCACAATCTAAAAGAGAAAGCAAGGCAACTTATTCTTTGTTTCAGCATTTCAATAAAACAGAATTTTGTTTTCAGGTAAAATTACCTTTCCGCTTCCTCATCAGACCGTTTAACACCTTTTCCTTCATGATAAGCTCTTCCAAGGTTAAAGGCAGCAGCAAATTTTAAGTGTCTTGCTTTGGGACATGGAGAATCCAGAATTCTCTTCATACAGTCTATTCCTTTTTCCTTCCACAGAGGAAAAGAACAAAGAAAAACACCTTATTTTTGGTTTGGTTTTGTTTTAGTACCAGGAATCAAACTCAGGGCCTGATGCTTGCCAGGCAGGTGCTGTGTTGCTGAGCTATATCCCCAGCTCACCTGAAGTTTTATCCAAATTGAGTTTCTTTGTTCTAATAATGTGCCATATTTATCTGCTGACATGAATGCATAATATCACACACATGAATCTATGCTTAAGGGCTATGATTGTTCTGGATTCCTCGAGAAAAGATATGGAGGCAAAAAATGAATGAAGGTGCATCTGCTGAGCACCTCCAGGAGGAGCTCCAGGGTAGAAATACGTTCATTTTATAGCTTCAGCAGTTGCACTGAGAACACAGTCCACATTCGAGGCCACTATCTGCCAAATCCAATGAGGTTGGCCCTGTCTCATTCTGAATACCCTCCAGCCATATCGTCTTCGTCTCTATGCCTCAGGCCTCAGAACTAGCTGTTTGTTCTGCTTAGATGGTTATCCTTCACACACACACACACACACACACACACGCACACACACACACACACACACGCGCGCGCGCACACACATAGATATTTTTTGGTACCGAGGATCGAACACAACGGCGTGCTTGCAAGGCAGGTGCTTATGCTGCTGAGCTAAATCCCCAGCCTCTTGACTTATATTTTGCTCCTTGTTGCTCAGTTCTTAGTTCATCAAAGTAGCCTTATCAATTTGAAGAAAGATACCTTTCCAGTCTAACGTGGCTAAAAAGGCCCAATTTAGAGTCTTCACAGCTCATATTATTATCTGATGCCATCTAATTCATTATCTTTCCTCTGAGAATAATTTTGTTGCTACACTGAAGTCTTTCTAGTGCCTAGAAAAGTTCTAGGCTTATATCAAGTCTTCAAGAAAGATCTGTTAAAAGAATGAATGACAAATCATTCTGTAACTGTGAATGTACAGCTGAAGGATGTGGGGTGGGGAAGACAGAATGGAAAAAGACTAGCAGGTTCATGTGTTCAACCTGGCTGAAGAGGATGCAAGACAAGAAGAAACTGGAGAGCAAAGGATTAAACTAAAAGGTCAAAGATGTTGTTTGTTGAAGTAAGGAAATGAGGCCTGGAAGGCTAAGGATGTGGCCATCCGGTGTAATAGGGGAGGTTTCAATGTTTTTGCTGGAAGAGTTCAGGTAGTAACAAGGTTTAGGGCATGGCCATGCCCTGACTGGCTGAGACAGAGTGAAAGCTAGGGATACTGAAATTCACTGAAATGTCAAGGCTCTCTTTGGCTAAGGTATAGGATTCTGTCCATCCTCATGCACACTGAAGTCAAATCAAATATTGGATAGACATAGGGAAGAAAGCTAATTTCAGAGCTAAAGCCTTCAGATTAGTATGCATACAACCGCAGTCAAAGTTATCATTGTTTTCCCGGTAAATTTCAACATGTGTTTATGTGCTCTTCTTTTAAACACCTTTATTGAGCCACTTAAATTATGTTCTGTATCATTTGTTATAATTAAAGCACATACATACTCTCTTTTAACAGAGAAATTTACATTTAGCCAGGAAAATTAATTTGTTTAATAGCCACTTGATTATGAGTTTTTTTAAATTTTGACTTTTTATATTAAATTTTCAAGCATATAGGAAAGTGGAAGGAATAATACATAAATACTTTTGCAAGTACTATGTAGATTCTCTGCAGTGGTATTTTTCTGTATTTGCTTCATTTACATTTTTTTCTGACTTCTTTTAAGTTTCCCATAAACGCACAGTTGTCAGGAAACTTTACCCCTAAATATTTTAGGATCCCATACCAAGAAGATATTCTTCTTCATAAGCAGTATACTATAATCTCTTCTAATAAAGTCTGTCTTTTACTTTTTGGGAAGTAAAATTTTTAAAGATTTGTTTCCACAATTGCAATTTTTGTTGCATCATAATTTATCCCTGTCTTTTCATGTTTGATTAATGAAATTTTTTAACTGTTTGATACACAGTTCACTTGCCATTACTTCTGTAACATTCCCATTGTATTTTTTCCTTGTTAGACCCTGAAATTAAGAATTTTGTTATTGCTTTATTCTATTTTTGTATAGCAAATACTTTTAATTGGTTCCAAATATTTGGGGAGTTTATTAGTTCTTTGGTAAATTTAAATGGTTGATTCCTTTGGCTTTTTGTAAATTCTTTATAGCCAGATTATGGATATTTAAAAGGACATATCTATGAATATTATCTTAACAGTACTATCATTTTGTAATCACTTATTTCTAAATTTTATGCTCAATAATTCTACAACATGTGATGGTTTAGTCTTGATACCATTAAAAGGTAAACAGGAGGTCACTGAGTCTGTACACATAAATACAAAACAAATACTTTGATATGACTTTCACTCGAGGACGAGACATGGGAAATTCATGGGAGCTGTGTCTAGGAAAAGAACATGTTATAGCATTAACTTCTAGAAGAAATATCTACATCCTGCATAATTTCCTAGTCTTCCCTTACTTATTTAATTCCCAATTAATTTTGAGTCAACTGATTCATCTTTCATCATAGATACACTGATAAATTATGGAATGAATATTTGAAAAAGTTTTGAGACATTTAAAAATATTTTTTTAAAGGCACACTGGGTTTTATGATAACATTGGTATAAAAACAATACATTCTTAAAATGTAGCAGTTCAAGAAAATCAACTGAATAAAATAATTATATTACTTTCAGTCTTAACTGAATTTGCAAACAATATTATTTAGCATACTAAAACATCTGGAGAGTATGGTCACTTGGGACAAATTTTTTTCAAAATATTTAAATGTATGAGTGAATAATAAACCTAATAATCTTATAGCCTTCAACTATTCATCTTACTGGTAATTAGTCCTATTTAAACTGTTTTTTAGAATAGACTTTAATACTATTCCTTAAAATAATAAGTTATTTTTGTCAATTTATATTTCTGACTTCAATTATTTTATGTATTTATTAATTTTTAAAGTTGGGAATGCAAACCAAGGTCATGCTAGACAACCACTTTCTACTAAACTATGTTCTCAATCTCTGATTATTTAGTGCTTGGCATATGATACGGTGTTCAGAGACATAAAGTGGCAACTGCCAGAAAAATGCTTAATTCCTGTTGCTATTTTGACCTAGTCTCTCACATATTACTTTTAGGTGACTAGCAGCCTGCTGACAGCCAGTACCACTAATTAGTAATTGTCGGGTAGTAATATTTTTCCACAGTTGTATCTATCAGCATATTGAAATGGTCAGGAACTCGGATCTAGTCTACTGAAGGAAGTTTTCCAATTTTGCTCATGCTGCTTCCTCTGAATAAATGACATTCCCTGCCTTTTGATTCCTTTTCTTATTGATATTCTTTTTTATCAGTAACGTTCAGTTTGGGTCAGCTGTTCTGTGAAAACTTCCCTAGTCCTGTCTTTTTTTCTGCGTATGTATCTATCTCAGTCCAGACCCATCACTATACTGATAGTCTCTCTTAGACTACTCACATCTATCATACTCACCTTTGATTTTCCAGCACCTGTTTTTGACAGTGTTCCAAATATTTGTGGAATTAAAAGTAAATAATACATTAATCCAACTAAAACCGGTGAAAAGGTCACAGGAGTGAACACAAGTACATGGGTTGCACACTAGGGTCTCCTAATAAAATACTGAAATGGTATTTTCTAGTCAGGTTTATGTCTTCAAGGGGAATTCCAGGGATGACTGTAACCCCTGTGAAGGGTAGTACTGCACTGCTGCTTTAAATAATAGCATTAGTGTGCATTCTCAGTAGTAGATTTGCAGATGAATTCGACGTGGAACCAGAGAGATGGGGATATTCATACATCTAGAGAGATAATTGTCTATATGAATCTCAGGACAAAGTTCTGGTTAGAGGTAAAACAATTAAGTGTTCATATTTGATAGGAGATTTTGGAGTAATCCTATTTTTACTTATTTTTTCCCAGGATCATGTAGCTTTAGAACAATCTTTAAGAATAAAAGAAAGTATTTTACACAGAAATGTTATTGATAGCCAATGACAACTACAAACATTTGCTGTGATAAATCAGGGAATTCAAAAATTCTAACTGACCTTCAGAGACTCAAATTAGGCAACTTAAAACAAATTGTGGCAAACTGACAATGTACTTTCCTAGCCAAGATTATCTATGTCTGGCCTAGTATCTCAAAATTTAGAGTTACAGATGTCTTTACTATTTATGCAATGCATAAAAATTCCATTTTTAGGGCCGGGGATTTAGCTCAGTGGCACAGCGCCTGCCTGGCAAGTACAAGATCATGAGTTTGATCCCTGGTAACAAAAAACAATCAAATTCCATTTTTGTCTAAAGTCACTAGATTTGAAATACCTATAAAATTTTTAGAAAATATTTTAATATGCAATGATTCTATTGTTAGTTATGACAACTTGACAAAGTATAGTGGTGCATACCTATAATCCTAGGACTCTGGAGACTGAGCCAAGTAGATAGCCGATAGTTCAAGGCCAGCTTGTGCTACCTAATGAGTTCAAGGCCAGCCTGAACTACCTCGCAAGATCCTATTACTCACAAACAAAGATATTACTAAAATATAGATAATTTAATGGTACAAACTAATTCCTTGACAATATACTTTTAAGCACTGAACAAAACAACTTACAGCATTTGAAGTGGTCCCCAGCCCATCATAATACATTACGCCTAGCTGATAAGTTGCTTGATGATCTTTCTCCTTGATATCTTCAAACTGTTCTAATGCTTCTTCATACCATCCCTGTAAGTCCCCAGAAAATTATTATTTTATTATGACCTTAAAGTAACCCCAAACTGAGGCAACATGAGATTATTTGTGCCCAAACATACACAATTCGCCAGCAATACAGCTGGCCAAACCTGTGGCCAGTGCTGAGAGATCATGCTTTTAGCCGTGGGACACACAGTACAAGTACATGTCAAGTGCATGCTGGTTCCCAACGGATAATTGTTTGTAGAGAGACTGATTAGAGAGAAAGTGGGATATGGGGGAATATGGTCTCAACTATTCACTGGATCATGAGGAACGGAGGACAGTCCCTTTTCCTTTGGGATTCAATGAAGAATCGAAGCTGTATTACTGAAGTTGGGTGATTTCTCTTAAGTCTACCTGCCATGTTATCTCAGCCTAATGTGGATAAAGAGAATGACTCCATGTCATATAGAATAAATATATAAAGCTACTTTGAAGTACGGAACTAGATAAGAATTGGGGCCTTCAATTATTAGTCATATGAAAGTATTTTATATATACATTAAATATTTTGGGCAAAAATATAAAAATATTTTATAGTATAAAAAAGCATTTTTAAACACCAAAATGACTCACTAATTACATTACTGAGAATGACCTTTGTAAAGAAAGGGCAGATATCTCCTTAAACGGGTAGCAGTATAGTATATATACTTAAAGTAATTTGATAGGATTTTCCTGATATAACAATGTAAGGAATATAACATGAAATTTGTTTTGAGGATCTAACAGTAGATTTATGGGGAATGAATACAAATAAATAAACGATACCTCTTCAAAATACAGTTGACCTCGTAGGAAATAAGCCAGAGTATCTCCTCTTCTTATTCTTTCCTTCAAAAGCTGCAGTGCCTTATCCACCAAAGCAGCATGGCTGTAATGATCTGATTTGTAAAGTGAAAATTCCTTTAACCAAGTAATGTGAATTTTCTCTTGAACAAATAAATTACATACAATTCACTTGACACTATTAATTTTATTTTCTTTGCTAGTTTGTATTCCTACATTTGGCCTCGTTAGCTTTAAGGAAAAAAGTATTACCTAAGAAAAGATTATCATAGTCCCTAACACTTTACCTTGTAATACTCAATGATCTTCAAACTAATCTTGTGCACTGCCAAGTAGGAGCTCTAACAATAGTCTGTGGGCATACATTGGTTTTTCTTTGGACATAGCCATCTTCTTGGTGAGTTAAATTTTTAACCTGAAGCTTAATTAAAATGACTCTAATCAAATCAGCTGACCATCTCCAACTTAAATTTCTTAAGTCTTAAGAAGTCAGTTTCATATGCACATTTCAAGGAAAGCACAGTGGTATTCTCTTTAATAGAATTGGCATGGACTTCCTGTCTCTGGAAGCACATCCTTAAGTCCTGAGAGTAAAACCAGAATCAAGACTGAACTCTGAGACTCTTCCACTTATAATTTGGTACCAGATTAAGTTACAATTTCACAGATTCTTGCAGGAAAGTTTTATGAAGGATCATAAAAGTAACTGCTTCTTTGAAATCAGTAAATCATGTATTTCCTGTCTTGTTTATCCTAACAAATAATGATATTTTAGGAAGCATATTTTTTCAAGGGGAGATTAAATATCCATATTTGTACCAGTGTTTTCTTTTCTCCATTGGAAGAGTTTCTGGTACTTAGCAGCATACTGAGATATAGAAGTATTAAAGGGATTCTTGGGCAGCTTTTCACTGGTCAATTTCATCCTGTTTCCACAATATGTATTCTGTAAACAAGAATAAAAAATAAAATGGCAACAATTTCTTCTTCCAGAAAAGTGCAAACAGGCTCCACTCCTGATACCTAGTACAGCCCCCCCGCCCCCCCCCCCACTGCCTAACAATATGACACCAAACTACCAGTTCTGAGATGTGAACATTCTTTCCTAGGAAACCAGGATCCTCCATACCTATAAGACACAGCCACCCTGTGTTCCTTTCGCATGGCACAGGTCTGATGAAGAAACCAGTTTGCAAGTTCTATCTGACTACAGCTCTGCTGTGAGTCACGTCACCCGCCACTTGTGCCATTTAGTGGGAATTCGCGACACACTGGTAGTATATACAGTTCTTATGTGGCCTGTAACAAGCTCAGCAGACTAATTCATTTCACATGAAAGCATTAGTCTATTTTACCTGAAAATATACTTTATTTCAGTTGCGTTCAGTTTTGTCTTCCTCTCTGTACTGGATTGCCATGTCATTAGATAGATCAGAGTTAAATGGTGAAGCAAAGCCTTAATATAAAACGTAGAGGCCACTTTATTTGGGATGAAGGAGTCCAGGTTGGCTGAGGCTGGGGGGCTATGAGACAGCAAACTGAGTTGTTGCTATGCTCCTTTTATTATTCCTTGGCATTCTACTGGTATAGCTCATTGAACCAATCAAGAGCAAGCTTTCAGGCCAGGTTCCTGCTAGTGGTCAAGAGAACTCAAGAGACTGAAAAGCTGCATTTATATAATTTACAAAACTTTTTTCTTTAAATGAGGATGAAATGTAGAAAAGGGAAGTAATTCAGTATATTAGCAAAAAACAAAATCAGTGAACCATTTTTGTGATTTTGGAAGATTCATTTATCTTTTTTAAGAGTCAGTTTCCTTATCTGTAGTTTACATTATTTTAAATAGTTTGAATTAAACGATTCAAAAATGTCCCTTTTATCTATCTAATCATTTCATTATGAGCCCCCAGATCTATGGTTTCATTAATGACTTTAATGTTGCCAATGAATTAAAGAGTGAAGCAAAATTAAGGAATTTAGAAAAAAATACAAATATAATGCAGGTAGTATGCACTACCCACAGACAGATTCAGAAGTCTTTACTTTCACTGAAGACATTAACACAGTATGCTACTATACACAAAAAAGGTTAAGAAAATACTTGGAATATTCGGGAAGTAATCATAAGTGAAAACAACTGGAGAACAATACCTTACTTACTTTTAGTGATTTTTTTTTTTTTTGGTACCAGTTACTGAATGTATGACTGTACAGTAACTGGTACCAAAAAAAAAAAAAAAAAATCACTAAAAGTGCCTATGTTGTAAATTTAGAAATTTCTAAATTTCTGTACTATGCAATGCAGACTTTACTTGATAATATAGAATCTGAAAGAAAAATGTGATTTTAAAAGAAGAAAAGTAAGGTAGTGGATACTGCAGTGCCCTCTTTATATTACTGTCCCTTTCCCAGCCTCTCTGAATGTTAACTGAAACCAACTCTTTCTTGAGCTTGTTCACCAGTGAACTTGAGTCCCCTCACTCTAGGATGCTGCTCTATCCATGTTGCAGATGAACCATATAATGTTTTATATCTAGATGTCCCAAAAAGCCTCATGGTCTCCTGCGTGGGGCTTTTGGCAGGTAGACTGGATTATGAAGGTTCATAGTTGACCTCCTAGTAGGAGGTGGAGTCTGGTCTGAAAAGGATCAAATTGCCACATGAATAAATGTTTAAAACCACCCCTTAGGGTTGCTGCCTGTTTAATAACATAAATTTATGATTGAAGAACTATCGTAGGGCTCTGATTACAAAATAAATGATAGACAGTTAAGAAAATTAGAAATAAAGACCATTTAGAAGAAACTAAGCTAGTCCTGTAAGAAGCACAATAAACACGTATTTTAGTGGGGAGTCATTGAAGATTTTAGAGAAAGACACATTTGGAGATTTGGGGTTAGCTACAGTAACGTGGGGAGAGTGCTTAGGAAGAGTTTGTCAGTAGCTCCAATTTGCAATTAATTTCTTAAGTTTTATAAAAGACAATGAATGACTTAAACAGCTCTCCGAGAGTCATCTTTCCAGTCCGGTCTCTCGAGCACCCTGGGTGACCCCTGGTGCAGCGGGGAGAGACTCTGGATCTTCGCTGTCTTTGCCCCGGGTCTAATTTTTCCACTAAGCGTCCTAATAGGGTGAGCACAGTGACAGGCTTCCTCTTGGCCGCGGACTACTCACGTTTGCAGAGTGGCCCCGCGTTACAGCGGCTCCCGACGAGGGGACACTAAGCAGCGGCTTATTGCACGGCGTTCCCACTATGGGCACGGCCCGGGGACCTTATTTTCTTCTAGGGAGCGTTGGTTCCTGTGGTAAATCCCCTCTCCCAGGCACAAGGACGGGCCGCTCTGGCTTTTCCTTCCTAAACTTCCGGGCCTCGGAGAGGGGTGACCGTGAACGTGAGGCCGAAGGCGGTCTCCCCCTTCCGGCCGCCGCCGCACACAGCGGCTTCCAAAAGCAGGGTGGGAGCGCAGCAACCTAGCGTTGCCCTTTTTCCTGGTTACGTGCGCGGGTGCAGAAACCAAAACCTTCGCCCGCGACTCCCGCTTCTCTGGTAGGATTAAAGAGCTTGGCACCCGGCCGCGTTACGTGACGGGCTGAGCGCGCCTCATGGCAGGCGCTGAACCAGGGCCGCCCAGCGACGTCCGCCCAGCCCGCGGCCTTCCAGGCGCACGCGTGCAGAGTCTCCCGCCGTGCCCAGGGCCCCACCCCTAAGTGGGCGGTCCCAGCGTCTCCTGGGATGGCCAATCGGCTAGTGAACTCGCGCCTCTGGCCCCTCCCCTCTCCCTGGGCAGCCCAGTTTAGGTCCTGGCTGCACGTGTCAGTGTTTGGGTACGTGCAGCAGCTGAAGGGTTGGGAAAGTACCAGCAGAGGGTTAAGTTGTGGGCGTGGCAGCCAAGGGCTTTAAATTCTCAACCACTGGGGCAGGCCAGTGTATTCGTATCTGTCATTCTGCAGCGACCCTCCTACCAATCTGCATTCTCAGGGCCTCTTGTCATCTGCGTTAGGCGGAAGATGCTGTTGCTTGATTGCGACCAGGAGGTGAGACTGAGTCCCGTTTGTTCTGCAGGACAGAGGTTTCTTCCAGATGTGTCGGGCGGGCCATCGAGGGTGACGGTGATCTGACTGCTCCGCGCAGCCAAACTGCGCCTTGTCAGTTTGACGGCTTTTGTAGTGGTTGAAGCTACAATTGGGAAAGAGCTCAAGGCTGAACAAAGGCGAGAGGGGTGCTGAATCTGTTCTTTTCGCAGGCGGAAGGTCTGGAGCAGCTGCTGCAGACAGGGTGCTCCGTCAATGCACCCCCGGATCCCTGTGAACAGTCGCCTGTCCACTTAGCTGCAGGTGGTGGCTTTGCTTACTTTCTTCTCTGGCAGCTGCAGACAGGCGCTGACCTCAACCAACAGGTAACTAGCTAACTGTTGCTGTATTCCAGCGGCCGCTCTACCCCAAATGCAGACATTTCCTACAGCTGCCAGTTTGTCCATTTGATTCAGCTGTTACAAACATGTTTAGGAGACACAAAATTTAACATACTGTGGTACCCACATTAATGAAAAGGAAATATTTAGTAATTTAATAGTTGGTAAAAATATTTTAGTATATAACCAGTATAAAGAAATTATTGATGACCTGTTTTACATTTTCTCACGTCTCACAATCCAGTGTTGTATTATACTCTTACTGGATAGCTCGCTTAAATCTGGCCACATTTGCTTTTCATAGTTTTTATCTTCCACTGAATATTACAGTATGGTGAATTTTAAACGATAAACTTTTGCATTCTGTAGAATTGTTTTGCTTTTGTTAAATTTTAATGTATATAGTTATGGCCACACATTTTTATTAATGAAAACTTTGTACTAGATAGTACACTAAGGGAACGGTATCACAAATAAAAAGCTTGAATTAAAAATGCAGTCTACCATTTTAACTGGCTTCTTTAAATAGCTGATCTTAGACTTCACTCATCAACTTTCACAAATAAGTGCTTTAGGGAGAGATTCTAAATATGTCTTCTTAAAATAAAAAATGCCTTCTTTTCCTAAAGGATGTTTTGGGAGAAGCTCCACTCCATAAAGCAGCTAAATTTGGAAGCCTGGAATGCCTTAGCCTGCTTGTAGCCAGTGAAGCCCAGATTGAGTGAGTATGAAATACATAAATGGCTTCAACTTTCGTTTTCTTGGATTAGAGTCCTAAGGCTTAACTGCATGTGCTTTTAAAGTAACGTTTGCCTAGTTAGTAACGTTGTATTAAATAGTTATGTCAGTGATATGTAATGTCAGTTCAAGTAAGTGGTGTAAAAATGGGTCCCAAGCAATCAGAAGTGCAATTCTGTCTATTATTCCACTTCACTTTTGCCTTAGGAATACTCATTCTACAGAAATTTTCATTGACCAAGTTCGGCCAATCATTTACTGTGTTGATGCCAAATATCTTGTATCCATTCACCAATGGAATGCCCACTTTGAGCTTAATCTGCTAGTCACTAAAGACGTAACAGCAAGAATGAAATTTCCCTGTGTGTTTTTTACCTCTCTTATTTTTTACCCATGGCATAAGCCCAAAATTCCTTTGTCAAGAACACAGGGGGGAAAAAAGCTAAATAAGTACTGATTTTTACTTAACTCGATTTTTTTTTTCTAATTTCAGTTTGTGTAATAAGAATGGGCAAACAGCTGAAGATCTTGCTTGGTTATATGGATTTCCAGAATGTGCCAAGTTTCTTACAACAATTAAATGTATGCAGATGATAAAGTCAAGTGAACAACCCACTAAAGATTACCGTGTGCCAGTGCTCAGACAGAAACGAAGTTTTGGAAATACAGAATATATAAATGAGAAAAGAAAGTGTTGGTATGTAAAACTGCTGTTTTTCCTCCAAGAATTTTTAACATAGAATTTATTGTCCCATTTAATTACTGATATTCTTATTTCAGTCTATTATTTTCTTTTTGTGGTTGGGGGAGTGTGCTAGGGATTGAACCCAGGGCTTTTGCACTGAGCTACATCCCCAGCCTTTTAATTTTTTTTTTTTTTTTGAGACCAGGATCTAAGTTGCCCAGGCTGAGCTCAAACTTGTGATCCTCCTGCTTTAGCCTCTCAGTGCTGGGACTACAGACATGTAGGTCTGTGCTTGGCTTTCATTTTCTTTAACATTTTAATACTGGTATAGTTACTACTACTACAATACTAGATTCTAGAGACCAAAATTTGTCCTTTATAGTAGAAGTTTGGGAAGAAAAAATTTTTTAAAAAAAGTTTTTAATGTTAACATGTTTTTTAAAAAACAGCGGTCATCCTGGTTACGAAGAGGCATGAAGCAGGGCTTTATTCAACGAAGCCCCCCAGACGCTGGCTTTGGGTTACCGTGTGTGTTTAAACTCCGAGGTGGAGGAACGCTTTCTTCCAAGTGAAGAGAACATTAAAGAATACATGTGTTTACATGCTTGTAATATTTTGATTGTGCATGGTTTGTTTTTTAAGTTATTAAAGGAATGTAAAGAATAAAATGTAAAGGAATGTAAAAGAATAAAATCTCTGTGCAGTATGTGCTATTGTTAAAATAGAAACATCATTTAAACCACTGAACTATACCCAGGATTTAATTTGAAATTAATTTTTTATTAATAAACTTATAATACTTTACTACAATCTTTTACGTCCAAGACACCTTAAATAGTATTTGGTCGCTGAGGAAGACATAAGTTATAGTACGCATCCTTGTTCCAAAAGTCTGGGCCCTTCCATCCACACCAGCCCTGAAAGTGGGAGCAGAAAGGGACACTTTTTACAGTTACCAGAGACTACAGGACAGAAAATGTGCTATCAAACTGTCAAAAGGACATCGGAGCAAGATTCGAATGCCTATATAATTAAGGACTAAGTGTAGAAAAGTAATACAGATCTTTAAACTTCGAATGCTTCATTATTTAATTACAGAAATCATCAAAAAAGAAAACTTTACTTCCAGTAACTGTTAAACCAGACGCTGCACTGTATCGGTTCTGAGAAGCTCAGCTTAGCGTGGCTGGTCACTGACACTATGTAGTGACTGTGTATGCGCAGACTGTTCCCCGTAGCCGGTGACAGACTTTGAAGTGTACCATTCGGTGGCATCTTGGCTAAGATGAAACACGGTAGTGAGAGCTCAAGTTTGCTCCAGGAGGTGAATTGTACGTTTTTTCATTTCTGTCAGGCTGTAACCAATTTTATTTCTTAACATATCCATATTAATCCTTCAGCAGAGAAAATTACTTTCAAATGGAATCTCATCATGAATGAGAGTTTATCAGATATCTTTCAGGGCCACTGATTTATTAAGAACATGATGATTTGCTTGTTTTACTTTACTATCAAATGTTTTGAGAAATACTTGCAAGGGGGCTAGCTGGGGACTCTTAAAATGTCACTGACAAGCACTAGGGTTAATCCTTTAACCAACTCTGAAGATGCTGGATATTCTGGCAGGGACCTAGAGTCAAAATCCATAGTATCTACAGAAGATAGTATATTAGCTCTGTTTTTTAGTGTAGAGAACGGATAGTTGATTGGAACTATTTTTTTTAGTGTAGAGAACGGATAGTTGATTGGAATTATTTTTATTTCTTCATTCTTGATTACAGAACTAAGATACATGCTGTAAAAATTCAAACAAGATCAAAGTTTTTTAAAAAAGGAAATAAATTCTTCTCTGTGTAAACACCTTTAAAACTGGATCGTTTTTTAAACCTGTTTGTTAATAACCTATTTTTAACTCAATTTTTTTCTATAACACTTAATATATTTAATGCCCAAAAGTATCTTCACATATAAAAGACATATATGTTATACATATCCCTGTTTATATATATATACATGTTTATATACATTCCTGTCATAACCTTTTTTGTGATACTTCCCCGCATGTATAGGCTTTCTCCTGGAAACCAGATCCGAAGTTTTTTAAGAGGGAAATGAGTAGAAAGGGTGTCAAACAGCAAGTACACGGGAATAGTAGAAGTCTGGGAAGAAAAAACTGCCAAACAGCAAACAGCTGCCTCCTCTTCAAGATGACTGGCCGGGGAATGTCAAAAGAGCTCCACAGGAAGGCGGAGTCTAGAGAAGGCAGCACGTGCCTGAGGCCTCCTATACTGCTGCAGCCTGGTGACAATCAAGATTTTACTGACTGGCTGCACCTTGGCTTTATGTGTGTACTACTGGATCAAGGGTGTTTTGCAGCTGCAAAGTTCTATGGAAACATAAATAGCAAAGGAAGAAAGTATTTCTCAGTACAGTTGGGGGTGACTATGCTTCAGGAAACCTCATCTAGATTATCCCATCTAGTACAAAGCCAGCCAGAAAGAAGCAATCTTATTACCCCTGGTAACTCTTTAGATGAAAATAAAGGCTTCTCTTTCCTTGCTAGAATTGAAATTCCTAGCTTCTCTGCTGATTCATTACCGTTAGAACTGGACAGTCATCCTTGCCATTCATGGCTCTAAGTGGGTCCTCCATATACTGTCAGCATGTGAATTCATTGTAGAAGAATAATTTTTTTGAGAATCCTGTTTTTTTTTTTTTTGTAGCAAAGATCGAACTCATGACCTTGCACTTGCCAGGCTAAGTCCCTGGCCCACGAATCCTTTCTTTCTCTATCCTTTTTCACTGGACCATGAGCTCCTGAAAAATCTTTTAAAACCTCCAGGGCTCAGGACACTGGCTGACACATACTGACTACTTACATGTTTTGTTTTGTTTTTTATTATTTCTTTTTTTGAGACAGGGTCTCACTATGTAGTCTGGCTGGCCTTGAACTCAGTATGTACTCCAAATCCTCCTGCCTCAGCCTCCCAAGTGCTGGGATTCCAGGTGTGCACCAGCATGCTTGACTTTAAATGTTAAATGCAAGAACATTTTGCTATACAAATAAATACTGCTATGATTTTCAAAAAGATAAATGCAGTCATTTCATAGACTTAAAGTTATAAATGCTTTGAAAAGGAAAACACTTAATATTTTCAGAATATATTTATATCCTATTAGTATTTCTCATCATTAATAAGAACTTTAATAAACTGAGGACATCAGAGTTCTGCTATACCCAAAGACTAAGAACTCTTCAATATACATATTAAAAAGATTTTATCTTTAGGATTTTAGCAAGCTAATGTAGCTTTGAACAATATAACTAAACTGAACTTCAAAGAGAAACCTTTCTTCAATACTAATGATATATCAATGAGAAAATGAAGAGTAAAGGGTAGTAGGATATCTTCATTAGTCTGATTTCAAAAGTCATATATGTTCTTTGTAGTTTTAATACTTGGCAAAGAATATGTTACTTAAAATTCAGTTTAATTATGTCTTATAATACTTGTCTCCTAAAGAGTACTGCATTTTCATATGTAAGAATTAGTTCTCTGTAAATCAATTTAAATAATACTTCCATTAGATGATTTGATAGGCATTAACACATACTCTTAAATCTGTCTTAAGCTCAGAACCTTTACAGAATAAGATCAGGTCAAGAAGTCAAACCTGTCCAGCATTTTGCTTAGCTATTTTTTGTTAATTCTAAAATTATAAATTTCTATATTCGCCTTCTGTTTCAAGGCACTGATAAACATTGGTATATTTGTTTACACAGAGCTATACAATTTTCAAAGGAATATACTTATGAGCTTTGTGTTTCATTAAGTTTGAGAACGGAGAAAGTTTTCATGTAATTTAATCTAACTTTGGTCTTTTGCAATTTACGCTGTCCTGCTTGTCCTCCCCATAGAGACACAGTTGCTCATCACAGGTTTGGAACCACTCCTTACACTGAGGCTGTCCCTTGCAGCTTGTTCTTTCTTTTAAAAAAACGAGTTTGTTGTCCTTTTGTGAGTCCTTGGTTTGTGTTTAAATTAATGTTAAACAGATACTGTGCTTACCTTTTCTAAAATAACTTGCAGATCTTCAGCTCCGGTATAATGTGGGTCTAGAATCAGAAATTTTATCTCTCCTGTCATTTCATTCCAGGCAACTCCTAGTATTGTGTGGGCCAAAACTCCTCCCCCTAGGGAAGAAGAAATATGAAATACAGGAGGGCATAGGATAATTTCAACTGCCTAGTCAATTTACATTAAAAAGACTAATCTAAAACAGCATTAAAATTGACTGTCCTACATTGCAAAAAGTTTGGATGTGAAATACACTGTGAAAAGATAAAATTACAGCTGTAACGCAGCTTATGTCTGCTGTCACAGCCGGTGAACTGCCTGCCAAAGCCAGACAGAACTGGCCCCAAAGGGTCTGACTGAGTGGCAGCCACAGCCGCAGATGGCGCTGCTGCATCTGTTTGGAGTAGCTCTAGTGAAACCGCCATCCACGAACATCCTTCTGATGCTCAGCTGCTATCCGCCTACCTCCTATTCTCTACACTGCAAAAAAAGCCCAAGATGTCCAAACACCTTACCAATCATTACTGGAGTGCCTTCACTCTGGAAATGATTAGCCAATTCCCGTCCTTGAGAGGCCATCTCTGAACCTTGGCTAGAAAGAAATCACTTTCATTAGGCAAACTATTCTCAGTATTAAGACCAAATAGTGAGTTTGGGGTGTCAATATTTTCTATCTTTTTGTTTTCCTTTTTGGTTTGTGATTGCAAAAAACAATATATGCTTAAATAATATAAGTTTAGGGAACTCATGAAAAGCAATATAAAATATTAAAGCAATATAAACTCTAAATAGTTAAGATCACTTTAGAAATTCCATTTGAGACAGCTATTCCTCTTCTAGGTATCTCCTCAAGAGTTAAGATCATCATATTACAGTGATACATGCGTACCCACGTTTACAGCAGTACAATTCTTAATAGCTAAATCTTGGAAGCAGCCTGCATGCCTATCAACAGATCAATGGATAAAGAAAATGTGGTGTTTATGCACAATAGAGTGCTATTCTGCCATCAAGAAGGGCAAACTTGAGTCATCCTTAGGAAAATGGATACAACTTGAGACATAAAAGTGAAATACATCAAACACACAAGCTTAAATACCTCATGCTTTTTCTTTTTTGAGTAATACAAATTATAATTAAAGAATAAGATAAAAGATAGATAATAGGAAGTAGGGAAATAGACTTTTCTTAAATGTTAAGGGGACCAAGAAATAGAGGGAGAGGGGAAGAAGGAGAGAGAACGGGATGAAAAAAGAATTAAGATGTGTCACATACATGCACCAACTACACACAAGGAATGTAAATATTACATACTGCAAAGATACTACTAAAAATAAAAACAAAAATATTTAAGGCTTCTAGATGTACTAAGAAGGAAGCAGAAAATCTTGAATTGTAGAAAGAATGTTCTAGAATTTTAGCATGAGCCTGAAACTGCTCATTTTGATGTCCAGTACTTTTATAGGTAGATTTAATTATCAGGAAAATTAGCCAAGACTCTTGTACAGATACTCTTCCACTAACAATAAGGTTATATCCCAATAACACCATGTGAGTTGAAAATACTTTAAGGATACACAGGCTACACCTAATCAGCTGGACACTGTAACTGTATTTCCTGCCATGACTGAGTGGCTGAGGGGAGCTGGGACTTGTTGCCGCTGCCCACATCACCAGAGTATGGCACTGCATATCACTGGCCAGGAAAAGATCAAAATTCAAAGTATGTTTTGTAGTTTCTACTGAATGCATATTGCTTTTGCATCATTGTGAAGTCAAAAAATTAAAACAAACCATCATATAAGTGGGGAATTGGATTGATAGAAAGATTGATTTTTTGGAGGTGCCAGATGGTGCTAAACTTTAGCACTTTCGCTTAACAAGGAATGTATAAAGAATGTTTTAATGTACAAAGTATTTTCACTTTTTATAAATATTCTTTGCTACTGAGTGTGTCATTCTTTATCACTGATTTCCAGAACTACTCTAAATTCCAACTGTGAAATTAGACATTAATTAAAGTAGTTGGACAACAAGGATACTGTTACCATAATTTACACCAGAAAATGTTTTAAAACATAAACATACCAAAAAAACCTCATAAACATAAACATACAATAAGGAGTAGCTATGAGAAAGACATATTATTTTATATTTTCTCATTTTCATATTTTGAATTGTGGGAAGGATTATTTTCCATATTATTATTATTTGGACACATTATTGGTTTATTAACCTCATAAGAAGAAAAACAGCAGGAGGCAAACAAAAAAGATCAGTCATGGATCAACATTTGATTTTCTCCTTGCAGACTTTGTGAAGACATAAGCCTAAAAAAAAAAACTAGACTTTTTTTCCCTGGTGCTCTATTGACATATTAGAAACAAACAAACAAAAACAAGAAAAAAAAAAAAAAAAAAAACCCAACTCCGAAGAAAAACCCCTTAGAATTTCTATATATATAATTTCAACTAAATTTAACATATTTCTAACTTTTTCCTTGTTTAGGTAAAAATTAGGCCTAGATTACATAGGTATATATCGTTGCTTATTAACTCAGAATCTTCTAAAAAATAACAAACTCACAATGTAGCATTAAAAAATGAGACTCATAGAACAATGAGAAATGAATAAGGAGTGAAAATAAATGAATGGGGAAAAAAGGTATTATTTTAATAAAAATGACAAGCTATCACTTTCAAATAATTTATCTATTTTTTAATGTGTCCTTACCTGACAAACAGTATTTTTGAAGTTATACCAATCAATTGGTTTAGTACCAGCTGTACTTCAATAGATCCAATCCACTGCCGTGATCCGACAAATGTGGCTGGTTTGTCACCGGCATCGACTAGAGCCTTTATATATTTAAAAAATATTTAAAAATTCCATATACCAGATAGCTATTAAAAATTACATTTAGGACATTCCCCCTGATAACCAGTACTAAAATATTTTTTCTTCAAAGTAGAAATAAGTTTATACCATGAGATAATAATAATCATTAACAGTATATTAACTGCTAAAGGAATGTGTAACTGATTATAATTTAAAACAGCATGTTTTGTACCTGCTGAATTTCCCTGTGTGTTGGAATGGGGTTCTCTGTGTATCCCTGGTGTCTGAACCAAGAGCAGATAGTTTGCAGCGATCGGTAAGCACAGCCCCAGCCATTGTCATCTATCCGATCTTGCATATAATGATGATAACCATATGTGCCCTGGACCACATAAATCTAGATGAAAAGAAGAAATATAGTAAACTATTAAGAGAGAAGTATACAGACTCTATGTACACCTGAAGTCATGTTTGCTGTCCTAAGAACTAGACTATGACTTCAGATCCTTTTAAACCTGTCTCTGTAGAACTACGGTTTAACACTGTATCCTCTTGGCTTTTTAAGTAAAGGTCCAAAGCCTTTACTAATGGTCCCAAAAGACACCCCGCCTTGTGGCCTCAACTTCTTCTCCTACACTTTTCCCTATTTCTAACTCTGCAACAGCTCAATGTGACTTCAGAGCCTTATGGTCCTGGTTGGGAACACCCTTTTCCCAAAGTTTTATAGCTTGTATCCTTCCACATTTAGCTCTCTGTTCAAATGTCGGAGACCTCTTCTGACCATAATCTAAAAATGCCTTGTTCATTCGCTCACCACTCATTGTCTGCTTTGGTCTCACCTTTATTCTGCTCCCTGCCTCCCAAAATGTTTTCAAACATTTTTTCATTATTTAACATATAACTTACTATCTTTTTAAAAATATCTGCCTATCCATACCAATATGAAAGCTCAATCAGAATACACAGTATCTTATTTATTTCTGGGCCCAAGCTTCTACAACTGGCACACAGTTGATATAAATGTGGTTAAACAAATAGTGACTGAATAAATAAAAGGCATAAAATAAAGTTTAAACAAACAAATGAAGGATCCATACAGTGGGTTGTAGGCAAAATGTTTTGGAAATTTTGTAAACCTGCAATAGATTACAGCATAGCCCAAGGGTATTATTTAATGACATTAAGATAAAGACTGATACAATTCTTACTTGTAGCATAATGTTAAGAATATGTATGTCTTTTTTGAAAGATTAGTATTATTTTTAACAGATTAGATGAGAAGAATTGTGGGTAAATACAGAACTCTCAGAAGACAAGGAATATATATTCTGTTCAAGCACAAAAAAAGAATTTATAATTACACCCTTCTGGCAGGCTGAAAATTGGCTGTCCCCAAAAGATATCTATATCCAGATCTCTGGAATAGAAACTTCTAAGACCAAAAGAAAAAAAAAATGATTGTAGATATGATTAAGTGAAGGATTCTCAAATGGGCAGATTATCCTATACTGTCCAAGTAGCCCCTAAATGCAAATCTTCTTATAAAATAGAGGCAGAGCGATGTATGACACAGGAAGAGAAAGCAAGTAACCACAGAGGCACAGTTTAGAATGATGGAGCCATAAACCAAGGACTACTGGTAAATACCTGACACTTAGAGATAAAGAATGGATTTTTCTCACAAGAGTTGATGAAAGAAGTTTGACCCTACTAGTACTTTATTTTTTAACGCAGTCACTGATTTTGGACTTCTAGTCCCCAAACTGTAACACAACAATTTCTGTAACTTGAAACCACCAAGTGCGGTTGTTATGGAAATCTACAGGGAAGGCATATAAGACTTAGTAAGTCAGTAGCACTTAGAAATTATTTCTAAGAGCAGGAAAAGGTTACAAACCAATAGGGAAAGGAAAAATAAGTTCAGATATATTTGAACAATGAAACATTTTCTTTTTTCTTTTTCTTTTTTTTTTTGTCTTTTTCGTTTTTACCGGTACCGGGGATCGAACTCACAACTGCCTGCTTGCAAGGCAGGCACTTATGCCGCTGAGCTAAATCCCCAGCCCCATGAAACATTTTCTAAATAATACATAGATTAAGCAAATGCACAAGAGAAATATAAACATATTTATAAGTGAGCAAAATTAAGATCCCTCTAACTAAACCTGTGGAATACAGCAAAAGCAGTGCTTTGCCTGAAAGTTACAAGTAAAACCTGACATTATGAAACAAGAAAGATTAATAACAAGTTCCAATTTAAGAAGTTAAAAGAAACACAGTATATCAAAGAAAGTAAAAGAAGGTAAAAGCCAAAAACTAATGTAATGAAATACAAAAATTACAATAGAGTGGGTCAACACAACCAACAGTTTAAAGAAAAAGAGAGAAGACATAAAAATGATATGATTAAAAAGAAAAATAATAAGGAATATTAAATCTTAAGTAAATATAAAAGATGTATTCATATATTTGTAAATCTTTATTATTGTACAGCATAGCAAGGCAGCAGGATGAGGGTCTGCGGAGCATTATCAATCAGGCTTTGTGCCTCCATGATGTTGAACCTATGGCTTGAGTGGCACAGCAAAAACACAGAGCCCTCTTTACAATGACATCACATATTGTATGAGTTGTTTTTTTCTAAACCAAAACGTCAGTACTCAGGTTTAATTGCAATACTGGCACTCTGGCATAAATAGGTGGAATTTGGGTCGCAATTTTGAGCACTCAGACTTTAAAGGGTTTGCCATCACTATCCTATACTCATTTTAAAAAACTAAATCTGTAATTAAAAAAATCTTCTCACAAAGAAAATGTTAAGTCTAGGTTGTTTTACAGGTAAGTTTTATCAAATCATCAAAGAAAGACCATGCCAATCTTATATAAATACTTGTAGAAAATTAAAACACCAGGAACATTCCCTATCTTATTCAGCAAGCCAATATATATTCTTGATAAATAAAAAATGGGATGAGAAAAAATTATAAGCCAGTAACACTCACAAAGATTAAAAAAAAAAACTCAACAAAATATTACCAAATGAAATCCACAAGTGAGTAAAAATAATAATATTGAATCATAATGAAACTTGGCTTTCTTCATGAATATAAATCTATTTGCTATTGAGAGGCTTGTGCTAAAGGTAAACAGTACAATCTTATAATTTTCTCTGAAATGGTTTAGGGAGAAAGAGAAAATTGAAGAAAATCTCTGTTGCATGTATGTATCAGCACACAGGTACAGGAACATTCAGAGTGTTGCCTAGCAAAAAATCTGGGGAAAAATAACACAAAGGTGTATTATACAGCAATAAAGACAATTATAGCTAGACCAAATTCCATAATAGTAGGTATACAATTTTAGTGGAACAAGAAGTTGTATAAGGCTACATATAGAATGATGTAATTTTATAACATTTAGAAAACACAAACATTGCTGAGGCAATATAAACATACATAGTGAAGGTATTAAAAACAAAGGAAGGGAATGATGAGCACACAGCTCAGCTCAGTCGTCCCTTAGTATACAGGGAAGATTGTTTCAGGATGCCTGCAAATAAGAAATCCTCGGATGCTCAAGTCCCTTATATAATGGCACAGTGCTTGGATACAAGCTATGTGTGTCATCCCATGTACTTTAAGACATTTCTAGAATACTTATAATATTTAATACAATTTAAATGCTATATAATTGGTTATGATAGTACACTCTTTAGGAAATAACGATGAGAAAAAAGTCTGTGTATGTTCAGTATAAAAACAATGTTTTTCTGAATGTTTTTAACCTAGGGTTAGTTAAACCGTGGATGTACAGCCTGCAGATAAGGAGGGCTGACTCTAAGAATTTTTCTTGGGGTTATGTTGAAGAGACAGAGAAGTAGAGAAGGAAGAAGCACAAAGCCTGACTGATAATGCTCCACAGACCCTAATCCTGCTATCTTGCTATGCTGTACAATAATAAACGTTTACAAATATATGAATACATCTTTTTCAATCAGACAATCTAGTTTATTACAAAAAGTCATTCAGCATTCACTTAGTAGCTTATGAATGTCCAGGTTCTTTTTAGGGAACTTAAAAAAATTTAGGAATTTAAAAAAAAACCTAATACTGTGTGTTGTGACACATGCCTGTAATCTCAGCACTTGGAAGGTTGAGGCAGGAGGATCCTTGCAAGTTCAAGACCAGCCTGGGTTACAAAGGGAGTCTGAACTGCATAGTGAGACTCTATCTCAAAAAAGACTAAAAAAAAAAAGTATAAGCCAACCCCCTCCCCGCAAACAAAAAAACTCCTAGAGTTCAATTATTTGTTAGACTATACATATATGTATATATGTATAGTATATATATAAATTTATATATATGAATATATATAAATTTTTATAAATGTATATATGCAAATATAAATAAATTTTTTATTAGGTAACTTTAGTGACACATGTTAAGTATACATAATGATCACATTCATTGTGGGGAATTTGTACTTGTATATGATAGAATTCTTTTTTCTCCCATTCTCCTACCCTCCCTCCAATCTCTTTTCTCCTTACTTATAAAAGCTTTGTTTCCACTTTTCCTTCTTTTCTCATCTTTTTCCTTTCCCCCTCCTCACTCATAGCTCCCTTTCCCATTTTCATATTTTCTATTTCCCGAATTATTAGAGACTCTTAAGTTTAATGCATTGCTAATCTATGATTCTGACTGTGAAACAGCAAGATTTTAACCAGGAATGTAAGTCTTCCAAGATTTCCTCTGACATGCTCAAAACAAAAGAAAACTTTTAATACTCCAAACAAGGTGACTGAATGCTTGTGTGCTTACAGGTGATGCTGAGTGCCGAGCCAGAGAGCTTTCTCAGGGAGCTTCTCTCCCACGGCTTTTGCAGATACAGCTGTTGCCCTAGTGCACTTAATGGCCAGGACCAACAGTGGGTCCCTCAACTCAAGGATGGTAGTATCAGAGATTCTATTTTAATTCTTAAGATTAAAAAAAAAAAACCCTGGACACTCGGAAGGTACTGAGTAAATGTCATGAAAAGATGGCCAATCAAATTTTCTTTGTTTGGGAATCCAAACTGAGAAGTGCAGAATGAGCCTGTGAAGAACAGGGAAGGAAGCTGAAATGAGTCTCTAAAGGAAGAATGGAACAGAATTTAGCAAGAGAAATGTGAAATATATAATTCCTAACCCTTTAAGATCACTGATAATTACTGCTATCTTAAATGACTATTAAAATGATGGTAAATTATTTTTTAGGAATGACATATAGTTATAAATAAATCCTTTAAAACTTTTCTTGGGTACCAACAACAGCAAAAAACTTCTAGCAACTGACTTTTCATTAACAATTAGTTAAACTCACCATGCCAGCCTCCATGTTAGGTGGATTAAGGTAAGTATGTGGGTTTCTAATGTAACCATCTTTGTACGGTTCATCTGGAAAGTGATAAGCATTACATCTTTTGAAATAAGGTCTGTCATGAGGCAGATTGAAGGTATCATGTAGCTCCTAAATGAAACCAGAACAGATGAAAATAGTTAATGATTTAGGTTATTATTCAGTAAATAAAGAAGTTATAAAATTTCTTATATAATAATTTTAAGTTTGCAGACATCTGTGATTTAATTCAGTTAGGTCAGAAAGTGAAACTTAAACTAAAAGCAAATAAACTCTTTTTTTGTTTATGTTCATACATGGGCAGAAACTGCAAGGTAAATACAGGAAAATAAAGATAACTTGTTGGAGTGAGATAACTGGGATATTTTAAATTACTCTGGTAAAATACGTCTAAAGACTGGCTTTGAAACAGCCTTTTAGTCTATGTCTATTCCACCCCGAATGTGCCTGATCTCATCTGAAACAGCCTTGTAAATAAGAACTAATAATTAACAATGACATAATTATATCAAAGAATTTTTAAAAATCATATTTAGAGTAAGTTGCATGAAGTATAAAGCCAATCAAAATGGCAAGAAAATAAAAATGTATATATGTTGTGATTTTTCCCAATTGTATAAAAACAGGTAACATTTACTTTTAAAAGCATGGCATCCATTTATATACTTTAGTGCCTTGACTAGATCTGCTTATGCAGTTGTCTCTGCAAATCCATCCACTTTGCACTTACAAAGAGGTACAGAGTTGGAATATTACACTTCTTCCTAGGGACAAAAATAAGGAAGATCCTCCATACGGTGTGATTTGATGGATGTCAGGCAAGGCCAGATATTTAAAATGTGCACTTCAAAATCCAGTCATCTGCCCATCAATCTCATTTCTTTAAATGCTGATCATGTTTCCCAAAATTCCTTTAAGAAATAACAAATAAAGCTGGGCATGATGGTGCACACCTGTAATCCCAGAGCTCTGGAAGGTTCGGGCAAGAGAATCACAAGTTCACTTGCAGCGTGGACAACTTAGTGAGATCCTTCCTCCAAATAAAAACTAAAAAAGGCATGGGGATATAGCTCAGTGTGAAGACTGTAAGCTCAGTCCTTGGTACTGCAAAAGAAAACTAGGGGAACAGGGGACATGGGGAGAAGCCAAAAAACCCTATTGTGATGGGGTAATACCACAAATAATGATTAATTAAGGAAGAAAGTTAGAATTGATAATCTGATTATTATGATATTATATGCTGGTAGGGTGACTTGGCTATTTTTCCTTTCCTTTTTCACAAATCTGCAGGTAATACATGGGAAAAGGGAGCTGGTTACACTTGTCAACTACCCTGGGCATGTAAGTATCTTTTTATTTCTGTATTTCATTATGGGAAAATAGAATACATGAACCAAATGAGGGTCTGAAATTAAAATGTTTCATATATTACATACATACTAAACTAGTAAATAGTTTTTCATTAGTAACACCTAAAAAATGTTGTAAGAAGACAGAAGTTCAGTAAAACACAGTCTACTTCTATACTTCTAAATCAAATTATGAAATAATTCCCATTAATTGTAAATACATATTTAAGTAAAAAATGCATGATACTTATGTTTTCCAATAAATGAACTAGTTTTACCTTCCTATAGGCCTGGAGCTGACCATCTGGGATTCCTGATGGATATGAAATTGTTACAAGACTTTTTTCTCTTGGTAATAAAAAGTGCAATGGTTCAGGGACCACAATAGATGTTCCTTTCATATATCTCAAAATACACTTTTCCATATCAGTTAGTTGATTATGAATTGCATCCACTAGAAGTTTACGAACTCTGGGGGTGAAAAAGATATAATGCTTTATTAACAAAAGATATAATGCTTACCAAATGAGAGTGTGGTGCAAATATACCCTAATACAGTAAAAAAAAAATTCTTTAACATGAAAAATAAAAGGAATTGTATATTGGTTCTATGTGCATAAAAGGAAACTCTTTAGATTTTAACATGCTATCCTACTTCCAAAAAACATTTAATTACTAGAGGACTCTTAAGAGTAAAAATGTAGTGAATCATAGTAAAAATAGCTACCCTGGATATGCTTATGTAATATGTAAAAGTGGGCTCTGATGAGTTTGAAGGTCTTCACTTAAATGCAGTCTACTATAAAAATACTTACTTTCCCCATGTTTCTTCTGGAGCAACAGAAACAACTGCATCCACTGGCAAGGTCATAGTAACATAGTGGTGTCCTCCACTTTCCCTTTCAATAATGGGGGTTACAGCTGCCAAAGAGGTCGACATTTCCAGCATAAGATCTATATTTACTATTTGGTGCTATATAGATAAACAGCAATAGTCAACTTGTGAAACATTAAACACTCAAAATAAAGGCGAAGGAAAAGAACTTTTTAATGGGATACTATGTAAAGCTATATTATAGTAAATTGTTAGAAAGCACAAATCTTATTTTAAAAAATTTCTTTCTGTTTCAAATTAATTTAGGGAGAAGGGAAGAGCCAGTAGGAAAAAAGATGAAGTCAGACTGGCCATGTTTTGATGTACGTTCAAGGTAGGTATAGGATTGGGTTCATTGTTTTATTCTTTCTACTTTGTATAGATTTAAAAACGTAAAAAGTGAAGCAAATACAGTAACCCACACATCCAAGAAACTTTAAAAATATATACACAATTGTAATACATTGCATAAAATAAGAATCTATACTTCCACACAGATAAGTAAATTTATAATAGTCAAGGAAACTCTATCTCACAGCATAAAGTTATTAATAATCACAGAAGGAAGTGACAGAAAAACCATCACATTCCAACTATCAGATTAATACTGGACTCTGGTAGAACTGATCAATGAGTGTTAAAAGTGTTGGGCAAATATATATATATATTCCCATAAACATGAAAAGCATAGCACCTTTACAGTGGAGAAATTTGGCAGATGCCATCTTAAATAAACAATTAAAACTAAGAAAACCAATACCAAGAACTAAGTGATAGCACTTGTCTGTTTAATATGATGTACTGAGAAGGATGCAACATCTCTTCTATGATAGTCCTGCAAATATTGCAGGAATCTAATCATGAGGAAATGTAAGACAAACCAAAATTGAGGAACATGCTACAAAATAACTGGTGTGTACTCCTCAAAATGTCAATCTGTAACTCCTGATAACTTCCAAATTTACCTTAATCCTACAATGTTTTGTATATTTCACATTTGTAAATTTCACAGCTCATCCATATATCTCAGTGGTATCTTAAATAGGACAAAAAGTGATCTATGTCTTCCTCACTTTCCATCTTTGCCAAAGCAAGAAACTGTTTATGAAATACACAAGGGGTAAATATACACTGAGTAAAAATATATGGGGTAAATATGCAAGGTATTACATAGGGTAAATATATGTGTTTAAATGAAAAAATTTTATTACATTAAAAGACATACTGCCATTAATCCCTTCAAAAATCTCTCCACAACTTTGAACACACTTATCATTCTTGAACCTTGTGAAGCAGTTCTAGAAGTTTTCCTTCTTGGGGATCTTTAAGAGTTGTGATAAATAGTATCGGGGGTGATGCTTCCCAGTGCCATCCAACAGTAAGATACAAACATTAAGGCGTATCTGTACCCACTGGACCTGGCACCATATAACTTTGGCTCTTCCCTAAAGTCAAAATAACTATGAAAGGTAAACATTTCAAATCAACTCAGGACACTGAGGCAGCCACAATAGTACAACACAGACACTCACAAAACAAGAGTTCTCGAACCACTTCTCAAAGTGGTAAGTGATGGGAGAGACGTGGTTGAATGAGTGGGAGCATTTTGAGGAGGATATGTGGCAATGCCTCTTACAGTCAGGAATTTTTAAAAAATTAAACATTTACTGTATTTTATTTTTTTTTTTTGTCTTTTTCCTTTTTATTGGTACCGGGGATCGAACTCACGACTGTCTGCTTTCAAGGCAGGCGCTTATGCCGCTGAGCTAAATCCCCAGCCCCACATTTACTGTATTTTTTGATTACATCTTATACCACTAATTTTCAACTACAATTTATCACCTAAATATCTCTTTTGTTTTTATTTCTATAACTAGTGGTTTAGCTACGTTTCTACAACCTCAGGTGCACCCATTTTTGCCTATCAGCCAGAAAAATGCTATAGTCATAGTACTTCCTAGGTGATGTTAGCTTCTCAATAGGATAATATGTAAAGCTATATTATAGCAAATTGTTAGAAAACACAAATCTTATTTTGAAACCCGATTCTGAAGAAAAATCTCCACTTTTCATCTTTATCCAACATCTCATAACGGCACATACACAGAAATATTAGTTCAAAAATCAGCAGAACCAAAAGCAGTATGAAGAGAAAGAAATACTTTAACACTTGTTATCTTGTGCAACATAATGTGTCAGATTCTTTTCATTTTCTTTTAAATACTAATTTGCAAATGTACTCAAGTCTGTTTCATTTTTTGTGGGTGTAAAGAAAGCATTAAAAAGCTTCCAAAACATGTCTTATAATATGTTCCAAGATAGGTAAAGTTTTATGTTTAATATAATTAAATGGTATTATTTATGGAATATGTTTAAATGAAAGTTTGTATATGTAAACATACATATATATGTAAGCATAATCTGTTTGACTTCTATATTCTGACCTATAAAAATAAGAGGGCAAGATTAAATTATCTCTAAGATCTTACTTAGCTCCAAATTCAAGGATTTAAATTTTTATAGATACAGTGCTACGGATGTAGCTCAGTGGCAGCGTGGTCGGCAAGCATGCACTAAGCCCAGAGTCCGATCCCTGGTCGATGACTAAAAACAAAAAAAAAAAAAAAGAAAAAGAAAACAAAAGTGAAGATAGGTGATTTACTTACCATGTCTGATAACTGTTTATCTTTCTTTCTCATGAATTTTCTTTTTCTGTCTTCCTGTTCAAATCTAAAATTTTAATATAGAGACAGTTACAGATAGGAAACGATATTTGAAAACAGTTTAAAAATGTGTAAATATACTTACTGAATAAAGCGCATTATGTCCTTACAAGCAGAGCTATCAGTCAGTTCTCCTGGAACGGTGTTTATGCCACTATTAGGCCATATATACACTGAACTGTGGCATATTCTGAATACGAGTGCGTTTGAAGAAAGTTTGGTTGTCAGGTCACTCAATACATGTTTTAGTACCTTCTTGATAAAAATTTCTAAAAAAATATAAATAGAAGTTAAGAAATACCTTAAACTTTTCAATATAAATGCTTTCAAACATATATAAAAGTAGAGCATAGTAAAACTGTCAAATACCTATTCTTCATTTTCAATAATTATAACAAAAACTTTTTGCCTATTTTTTCAAAAAAGCGGGATAAAATTCATCCTTTTCAAGTATACAATTTAGTGGCACTTAACTTATTCACAAGGTTTTACAATCATCACTATCTAATTCAGAAAATTTTGTTCAAAACAAACCACGTCCTTATCAGGAGTCACTTTTCATTCCTTATTTTTCCAACCCTCTCCGTGGCTCTAACACATCACTCATCAGATTCATCATGGGTGGTTTCATTTAGTATTAAGATATTTAGCAATCAACCTCCAGAGAAGTGCATTCTTTAGTTCCATCACAGACCATGTTACCCTCAGTAGCAGACTCAATCAAATGCTTGTTGGAAATTTGTAATTAATCTCCCAAGGGCATCTCAAATGAAAAAAATCTCAAACCTAACTCATCACATTCCTACTTTGATAGTCTTAATCTTAGTTTGTGACAGTAGTACAAGCCAGAATTTGCTTTACACAAGAGCTGTTGATTTTTCTCCCAGACTTCTTATACCATTCCAAGCAGCACACAGTATTTAAAATGGTGAGGTCTAGAAATGCAAGTTTTACATCTGCAATCTGCTATTTATTTATTTACTTCTTGAGGAACTGGGAATCAAACTCAGGACCTTGCACTTGCCAGGAAGATACTGTGCTGCTGAGCTATATCCCTAGCACTTAATCTGCAATTTTGATACATAATTTACTCTGTGCTCATGGGAATATTTATATTACTGTGACAATTTTCTGTAGGAGGGTGGTAAAGTATCACAAGAAAGAGGGTATCTTTTTCTAATTTTTCACACAGGTTCAGTTCCTGTAAATAATTTTATTAAATATATAATTTTAATTTATTCTATTTCGAACTCGTTTTCATTTGCAACATAGAATCTCAGTAAATTTAATCATTAATTTTACAATAAGAAGGAAAACTTTTCTGAAAGACTTACCATCAGCAGTTGTTAGCTGAAAAGCCAGATCAAGGCCTCCTCTTATTCTGAAAAGTATATCCATAGTTTCTGAAATCACACAGAATAAATAAAACCAAAATTCCTTTATAAACCAAAATAAACTCGTCTTATGTAAATTAGAAAATACTTGAGTTTAGGGTAAGGCAAAATTTAAGCTTTACTCTTTCAGTTATTTCATGAGTTAATGGCTTGTTTTGTGTGGGAAAAAAGCAACTAAATTCTATATCACTGTTTTTCAACTTTTGTTCCATATGGAAATCACCTGGGAAGCCTAAAATTTTGATACCTGCTCTGCACCCTTAGAGCCTCTGATTAATTGGCTGAATGTGGGCCTAGTCACAAGGACATTTAAAGGCTTCCTCCGATCCCATGTCATTGATTCTAATATGAGAAAACAGTAGAGAATCATTGCTCTATGATAATATTTCTGAAGTATAGTCTTGATGGGCTTAACAATGACTTGAAAACATCAGTGACAGAGAACCCTCTTAAGAATTCAACAAAAGCATTGAACCTAATATGGTAATACCCAGTAGACAAGACAATGAGAACAAACTAATATATTACTAATGGGTGGGAGTAACTGGTAGAACTCATCTTACAGGGCACTAGGAAGGCCTTATAGTCAGATCTTTGGCCTAGCAATTCTGCACTTAGAAATTTAGTTGCAGAAAATCAGAAAACACACAATGATTAGGATGTAAAGGATCATAACTTGTCAATAATAGAAGATTAGCTTAATCATTATGGAAATCACACTACTATAAAATAATTTTATACAAAAAATAAATGGCATTGGACAACATTCATGAACTATAGAGGAATAAATGCACTTGCAAAATGGAATTGATGTGCACTTCTTCATCCATATGCTGAGTTTCAGTAGTCAAGGATATATTGACAAATGACTTGTATCATTACATATGCAGGTGGGGGAGATTTCTTTTGAGAAAAGGTTTCAAAGATTTTATCAGGTTCCCAAAATAAGTCCCAAACATTCTGAAAAAAATCACAGTACACAGTAAAAACCTATTTCAAAATAAGTAAGTATTAAACAACTACTGTGCTAAATAACTGGACATATAATCCCAATTTTACTTCTGGGAATTTATTCTAAGGACAAAAGTGAAAAAGTTCATGTCATCTATCTGTGCTACTGTTGTTCATCACAGCAAAAAATAAATAAGGAAACACAGGTATCAGTGTGAAATTAGTTAAAGAACAATGCTATCGTACAAAATAGGATGTACCTAGTTGAATAAAAATATTTAAAGAAACCGCAGATGAAAGTTTAAAAAACAAGGGCAAATTTTAACTCGTTACTCACTATATGATTTTGCAGTTTAACCACCCAACTCTATTCCTCTTCTGTTAAACTAGAAACAGATACAGTGTCTCAGGGTCATTAAGATTCCATGAAAGATCATACGTGAAAACACCAAAGTTTCTCTAGATTCCTGACTCGAGATCTTCTTTAAAAAATAATACTTAAGATCTGAAGGGTTAAGTAGGTAGCAGTGGTGGGAGTATTACTACTTTCAAAGGAAAGACGGGAGAAGACCTTGCCCATTCCAGGCGGGGGTGAGGGCTGGTGAAAGCCTACTTAAAAAGCCACTTAGGAGACTACCCGAAGTGGTCTGGTCTGTTGGTGGCAAGCACAAAGATGGTCAGAGTGGAGTGAAAATAGACAAGACATTTAGAAGTAGAGCAGCAAAGTGGGAGGTGTCAAGGGTGACTCCCAGGGTCTTGGCAGGCACAGCTATGGTGGTATGGACTTGGTGCCGTCTACAGAAGTGGGGATTCTTGGAGGAGGAGATGCTGGATGAAGGGAGCTGGAAATGACTCAGATTTTAACTTGCTGAGTTTGAAACACACATAAGCTATCCAAGTGGAGACTCAGCAGATTTGCCAACCTGGAGCTCTGAACAAAGGTCTAGACGGCAGACGCAAAGCCAGGAGAAAGGACAGGATGTTAAGTATCCCTTTAAAGCACCAACATCTAGGATAGGGATCGGAGACCCTGGCTGTGACCGGAGGAAAACAGCAGAGTGCCAAGTCACGGGAGCTAAAGGACTTTCACAAGGAGGAAGGGCAGCGGCGCCCCAACGCGACGGAGGTGGGGGGGGGGCCGCAGGCTTGTAGGGGGCAGCTGCCCTCGGGGCGCAGAGGGAAGTGAGGGCCAGGGGAGTACGGCCCGGGCCACCGAGTTCGCAGCTGCCGTCGTGGCCACGGTAGGAGCAGCTCTTTCAGTGGCCTGAAGCAGTATTCCGAGGAGGCTTCAAGGTCCGAGGGACAATGCGGGGAAGGGTGATGGCAGAAGGACTCACCAGATTCTCGACGTGGCAACCACAGGGACGCCAAAGGCCTTCCAGCAGCCCGGAAGTGGCTTCATCGCCGGCGTCAGGGCGCTGACCGGATGACTACAACTCCCAGCATGCCTGGCAGCACTACGGCGGAGCGTACCACAGTAAATCTCATCGGCGGCTAGAACAGCGGGAAACAGAAGACTTGTTTTCAATAAATTTTGGCCGAGTCCTTTGTATCTCACTTATAAGTCCTCCTGTGTGTTCTAGGCGGATTTGATCTCTCCTCGTGTCCCTCTGTATTGTACTTGGAATGGATTTTTCCGTAACCTAGGCAACGCACCACAAAAAGCCCTCCGAGCGCAGAACTTGCAGCTGCAGTTCGCAGCCTAGTAACCTGTTGGGAAGGGCTTGCCAGGTAAGGCCACTCCAAGCTGAGGCGGCCCCTTACACAGAGATAACCTGGACTGGAGCGGGGACGATTTTACCTCGTTATCGGATCGGGTACTCTTCAGGAGAGGTGACTTGGTCCTCGCGGACACCATGGATTGCGTTTTAGATACTTACCTGCTTCGAGTCCTTCTTTTCCTAATGGGAAATAATTTGCACATCTCAGTCAGAATTTTCTACCCCTTCTTCGCCCCTCACCAACTGCACCCACGCCTTTTGAAGGGCACATGCCATATTCTACTTGTATTATATTTATTTTCTTGTCAATTAAATTGGAAACTCCCTGGCACAGTGTCTATGCCAGTTTTCCTACTTGTACCGGCGGGCTTTGTCCGGACGAGGGGTTTGCAAAGTTAAGCGAGTGGGCAAATGATTTTGTACGTGTTGCTCAAGAAGAGGTAAGGTCTTGAAAAGGTCAAGGAAAGACCTTTCTTTCTTTCTCCCTAGCTTGTTTAAATGTGTGTCAGAGACTGTGTAGAACAAACTGGAAATACCTTGCTAAAAAAAAAAAAATCAAACTAGCCTGATGAGACGATGCGTTCCTAAATCTTCACGTGACAGTGGGGAGACTGAGGCAGGGGTGTCACTAAAGCCCAGGAGTTCGAACTCAGCTTGGGCAAAATAGTGAAGACCCCCATGTCAAAAAAAGTGAGGAACAATGAAACTCTATCCACAGTTCCTGGGTTGGTGGAGTCCCTTTAGTGGGGAAAACAATATGCAGATCTGTACACCACGAATATAAAATAGTGATATAGTAGATAACCATGATGAAGTCCTAGAAGGAGACATACATACCGCTATGCTGAGATTAAAGAAATGATGAACAAACTGAGTAATGTGAAAGATCAGTGTTACCCGGGGTAAGGAAGAGGTCGGCGCCCTGCATTACCTGCCTAAAATGGTACTGTGGGTGGAAGGGCCGCGATCTGCCAGCTGGAAGAAGACAGATGCAGCCCAGAGTCCAAGAAAAGGACTTCGTTGAATTACAAACTGGGAAGCATAAACCAATGATTGCTTTGTTCACAAGTGTACGACTTTTGTGTGCCTCACAGATGTTGTCTAAAAACATTAGGATGAATTGGGAGCAAGTATTTTTTTTTTTTTAGCTCTTTGGACCTCCTGTTAAGATCATGTTTTAAGTTCTAAGTTAATATTTAGCATGTTTAATGTGATAATTTATCTTTGTTTGAAATGCCCAGTTAACAGGGTTGGGGATATACCTCGCAGCGCCTGCCCTGCAGGCTTTTAAAAAAACCTTGTAGTTGCCGTCTTCCCTTTAAGGAATCCTCAGAATGCATTGTGGATGTTTTGTTTTGCTCATTTTCATCTTGCCTATGTAATTGACCTCTCTCATTTGTTTTATGAACTAATTTTGCACAGTTTTTATGTTTAAACTTGAAAAAACTCAGCTGCCACAGGGCAGTATCTAATGTGTTCTACATTCTGAAAAGCTAAGTTATACTTTTAATATGAGGAACAGTACAGTATGCTGAAGTCATTTTATCTGAAGTATAAAATGTCTATCATTATATAATTATGATTTTAAAATCTGCCTTAAACTTCTCCAAAGAAGGATATAATTTGCACAATATTTACAGTACTACATGGTAGCAATTTTGTCATTTCCAGCAGATAAATGGCAGATGATATCATACATATTCCTTTATCACTTGTAGGCCCTTTGTCCATATAGAGTCAAAGGGAGACTTCATGGTGCTGCTTCTGAACCTTAGTGATCTCCTCTGGCCCTACAGAGTGGATTCTCTCATCACATAGTTTATAGAGAATATTAAAACTCATAAACTGAAAATTGGATTGAAATTTAATAAGCATGTTTTGGCTAAACTTTTCCCATGTTATTTTTCAGAGCAAAGTAGGATTTTGATATAAGAAAAACAGCTCTAAGGACCTTTTTAAGGTTACCAACACAAGAAGCAACCATGCCTGGAGAAGTAGGGAAGACAGACATGGAGAGAATTGGCCTCTTCAGTGAGATGGGATACACCACTATTGGTGATAAATATGTGTCACCATTTAACCGTAAGTACATTTAATATTTTCATAATGGAAATTTTTATATGAAATTTCATTTTAAGGTAAAATGATATTTTATATGACCTGTATCTTAAAGCATTGAGTTCTAAAGTTGACTAACATATTATGTTGCAATAGAATTAAGAGAGAATTTTATTTTATGGGTAGAAAGCTCATTTTATTGGCTCACCAACCAATACACAGTATCCTTTTAGGTAGTTTTACTTCTTTCCAAAGGTACATAGCAAGTTTTTCCTGAAATATTTTGCTGTTAGCTTTTTTTTCTTTTTAGGGTGGAGTACTCCACTCTACAAAGGGCATTTGCATTTGCATCGAAGAAAGCTATCCAATATCACTTTCCTGGAAATGAAATGCCAAAGAATTTTTAGAAAAGTCATAATAAAAGAACAAAAATAGATGTCTTTAAACTATCTCCATTAACGTCTAAAAAAAGAATGGGTTGATAAGGAAATTTCTCTGAGGCGAATTGTTAAATAAGCAAGGTGTGGAATAGTGTATATATTATGTTAAGCATTAAAAATGAAAAAAGGATATGTAATATTTACATAAGCGTAGCTAGAAATTGTCAGACAAAATTAACATCATTGACTGTGGAAGAGGAAATTGGTGGCCATGTGATGGAAGAAAACTTATTGTGAAACATTTTTATACCATTGAATTTGAAACTATTTGAGTGTAATACCTTTCTAAAATTTAAGTTAAAAATCAGTGATGCAGATTCACATTTCAGTATGTCCTTGAATTTATGGGTTTTTACACTTAAAAAAATCTTTACACTTTTTAGGATTTCTCAAATGAAGCTCTCCTAACTCTTAATTATAAAAGTTCTAAATATTTATAATAACAGTATTTAGTATTTACCCTAGTACTAGTTTTTCATTTTATAAATACCAGAATTTTTACAATCTAGTCTGTTGACAAACGTTTGGGTTGTTAATTTTGGTTAAGAATGAAAGTGCTATGAACATATTTGTTCATGTCTTTTAGTGGATGCAGACACTCATGTATCTTGAGTGTATACCTAGCAGGAGAATTACTTCAATTTGAGTGTGCAACACCCTTCTTTCCAACGTATGCGCACTTTTACTGACATTGCATGATATTTCCTGCGAGTAAATGGAAAAATGTTGGGTTAGATAACCTGTAAGTTCTCTTCCATCTCTAAAATTTGGAATGTATAACAAGGACCCTACTGTAAATATTCAGATGATTTCATGAAAGCTATTTTTGTGAAAATAACCTTTTACTCAGAACTTTCAGTGAACCTTTTGAAACTGTTTTGGACCTCAAACTCAGAACTGGCTCAAATCACATTTGTAAACTTGTCTGTTGTAGGCCATTTTCTTATTAAAGTCTTATTTCAGTGATAACTTGGTAATTGGCGATTATGGTTGTTATTAACATATTTATATTTATTATTTTTAAATTTTATTTATTTATTTGTTTATTTTTGAGACAGGGTCTTGCTGCGATGTTCAGGGTGGCCACGAATTCACTATGTAACCCAGGCTGACCTACAACTTGCAGTAATCTTCCTGCCTCAGCCTCTTGAGTGCTGGAATTACAAGCGTGTACCACCATACCTGGAACTTATCTGTTATTTTTTATGTCCCTTAATTACTAGTGAGCTCAAAATTATAATATTTCTAATTTATTTTTAAGGACCCTTTAATGAGGCTGCAAGCAAAAATAGGCAGATGCTACCTGGAGGAACCAAAGTAATGTCACATCTCCAGGCAGGTTATTTTGATTCTCAGTATACGAGGATTTTTGAAGGTGAAGGCTATGTAAATATGAATCAAGTGAGGAGACGGCATATGATGGAAGAAGCCAAAAAAAATTTAGGCAAAGCCTTCCTGCCTAGTAGCGGAGAGAAAAAACTGTAAGTGGTAAATAGTTTTAAATGGATCTCTTGTATCTTTCTCTATCTAACTTAAATGTATGTTTTCTGTAGGAGTTACTTATGTAAGATTAACTTTTAAGTATGATTGTTAATGTAGTTTGTCTTAGATGAAGATAGTTATATTGGACGATTTAGATTGACAGGTAATTTTAAGAATATTTTCATGATGATTTTGAATATATGTCCTCTATTAGTTTATAATAATTAAATATGAATTATAAAAATGTGAATTAAATGTAAATTATAAAATTATAAACGTGAAATTAGGAGCAATCCTTTTTTTTTTTTTTTGAGACAAGGTTTCACTGTGCATTTCAGGCTGGCCTCAAACTTGCAGTGATCTCCTGCCACAACCTCCTGAGTCCTGGGGTTGCAGGTCTGCACCAGCAGGAGAAACGCTTTTCAGATAAAGAATTTACCAAAGATACATTACTTTTAAATTACTGTGTGGGCATGTCTCAAAAAAAACTGTGAAGATATATTTATAGGGTTTAGCAATATTTTAATTACAACAGTTTGTCAATGTGAAGATTTATCTTTTTCATACTATTCAATCATTAGTTTATTAAAACTATGCAGTCTGTATTATATTAGGCTATAGAGCTAAGGTTTTTTTGTTTTTTGTTTTTTTGTCCTTTTCTTTTTTATCGGTACTGGGGATTGAACTCACGACTGCCTGCTTGCAAGGCAGGCGCTTATGCCACTAAGCTAAATCCCCAGCCCCTTAGAGCTAAGTTTTAAAGGATGTTTTTCAGTCATAATCAAGAACTTTGACTCTCTCACTGCAGAATTTATGATAGATGAGGACTGATTAAAGTATAATTTTGTGATTATTTTCTATAACTTCTTGAGATTAGTCAAACTGTAAAACTGCATTTCCATAACTGAGAGGTCTTTCTAACAGGAAATTTTGTCTTCTAAGAAAACATAATTTCTTTATTCAGAGTGAAGAATTTCTTCTTTTGCGTTATTAAAGTTTCATTTTTTTCAACTTCTACACTTTGTATAGATTGGAATTATTTACTTTTAATCTTATTACTGTTGGACTTTATTTTTTCTTAGATATGAATTTTGGAGTATATTTTTTCTTTTGGCTGCTACTTTATTTTTCATATAGTATATGTATTTTGCCCTTTGTATAACTTTTGTTTTGCTTTTTAGTCTTTATTAATTTTGACTCATGTGGTAATAACTGAGAATTTCTATCTCATATATTAATTTATGTATGAGAAATAACAGTTGTATAATTATATTAGTTTGCCTTTCTTTTGAAAGGACAAAGATTTGTAAAAAAAAAAAAATCTGGACTTAGTGAGTTCCAAAGATGTTTTCAAAAAGAGAGACTGGTGATATAAATAAGAAACCCTCATTTAAGCAATTATTCAACATGAAACCATGCAAGTATAGGCATTTTTCTCTTCATGATTGTTTTAGCAGTATCTCTTTCTCTTTACTAAACTTTATTTTTTAAATATTTGTTTTATTTTTTATTAACATATATTTTATATATTCTTGGGACGTAGTATAATATTTCAGCACATGTGTATTCACTGATAAAATCTAGTCTCTCTTTACCCCCCAACCATATGCATTTAATGCATTCTAAATGTAGTGACTTTTAATGTTTATGTTAAATTACGTCGTAGTTAAATTATGCTTGTGTATAATTATCCTTTTCTCTGCAATGTCATTTCTTTTTCTTATTGTGATTTAGAAGTTTATGGCATATTCTTATGTAAGAATTAATGAAAATAATCCCTCTTGATGGAATGTTTACTTATAGGCTAGAAGTAGTAAATAATCAGTGTTGGTATCTAAGTTTTGAAAAGACTAACTTAAATGTGTAGTGTCATCTTTTCATAATAATGTTACATTTGTTGTAGGCCATTTTCTGATTAAAAATCTTATTTTAGTGATAACTTGGGAATTAGAGATTATGACTGTTATTAACATACTTATCTTTTTTATTGTGAAAATAAAATAGCTATAGCACATTGCTGGGTAACAAAATAGTTTGATTGGATAGGCACTGTGCCCAGAAAAATATATATAAAAATTGTACAAAATATTTGGTTAATATTCTTTTATAATAAAGTAATAAATGTAAACCAAAAAGAAAAAATTGGCAGCAAAATTCTGTGTGATTTACTTTGCCATCAGTAGTGAAAATATTTATTTTAAATATATTTTACAAATATTTTTAATGATTGGATAATTAAAAGAAATTAGTCATTATCTTATGATGCACAGAAATTCATTTGAAGACCCTCAAAGTTCTCATTATTCTAGTTAACAGAATCAATGGGAGCTATTCTAACTTTCTAAATACCATAGTTTTATTTATGTAGAACACTTGAAATAAACATAAAACTGAAATGTCTCAAAGTTTATGACTTTGAAAAGGAAAATAAAATTTGATGAAAAATAACCAATGGATGTTTTTTCTTACCAAAGTTAAGCAAGACAATTCTATTATATATATTTTCTCCTTTTTCAATCTTTAAAAATATTGTTGAATTATGTGACATGAAATTTGAGCTTTTAACATTTCACTTTTTTAAAAAACAAAAATAACTGTATTTAAGATGTGGATTAGGAAGCTACTATGGAACAATAGGTGGTCCAGTGCCATTCTTCAGTGCAGAATTAAGGCCCAGGGACAAATATGAGCCACCAGGAAAGAATTTATACACAAACCCAGGAAAAAAAGGAACAGGATATGGGTAAGATATTTTCAATACTTTGTCTCATTTGTTTTGAATTGTACAAAATAAAATAAAATTTAAATTTCTGAACTCTGAAGTCACCTTTCTTTCTTCCTTAGCTATGCAAATGTTACCATAGGCAAACAACTTCCACACTCCTCTGATTTGTATGATGCATCAAAGCTAAATTTTAAGGTAAAATAATCTATTTTGAATTGTTCAAGCTTTCTTTTATTTGGTTGATCTTGTGACCTAATTATGTTTTGTCTTATTCTCTTTTTGTTAATACTTTTTTTTTTTTTTTGTGCTGGGGATCAAACCCAGGGTCCTAGGCATACAGTGCAAGAGTGCTGCCACTGAGCCACATTCTCCTTTGTTTCCAGCCCTGTTCTCCTTTGTTTTGAAATTAGATAGTTTTAATTTATTTATAAGCTAGGCAATAACTTATTCTCTTAATATTGATCAATACCACATTGACTTGTGACTCCAGACAACTTTAATTAGTTTTCAGGCACATTTTTCTTTATCCTGGTATTTAGTAAATCATCTAAGTCAGTTATACATTTAAAAATTAAGAATAAAATTTACAGACTCTTTACTGTCTTTCTCAGATTCAGCTTTCTGCTAGATCTGGGCTTTTCTGTTAATGGGCTTTTAACATATGAAAAATTTTGATATTTGAAGGGCTCTTCTCTTTCTCAATTAAAATAATTTCTTTTTTTGCTGGCTTTTCAATTTTATAGGTGAGAAACATGGAGAGTAAATAAACTAATTTAAACTGCAAAGATGAAAAAAAGCAATGTGGTATAATACATGTCACTTTTCCATTTGCAGTCAGTAAGTGTTTATATTTCAAGTTGAGCCCTCATGAGACAAGAAACAAACAAAAAGAAGAGAAAAATTAAAATACCTTTTAGTTCTAGCTTACTAATGTTTCTTCTTCAAATGTATAAGAATAAACCTGTCATGAACAAAAGACGACAGTGCCAAGCTAAGGCAGAATGGCTGCATGTTGATTTTTGCTTAGCTTATGCTGATGAGTATATTTTAAGTGATAAAGTTTCCTCTACTGGCACTTAAAATGAATAATTTCTTACAAATCTTGTTTGTAAGAAATTGATTTTCTTAGTTAGCAGACATATGGAGAGATATTTATTGATCTAAGATTCTTCAAATCCAGAGACAATTGTTTGTAAAAATATATTTCACATATGAACTTTAATGTTTTTATTTAGGAAAAATTTGACTCTCAAGTTAAAATGGTTCAACCCAAAGCAACTCTTTTTCAATAGTGAAGCTGACCTATGCAAAATATTTCTCTTTTTCTCTAAAAAGCATATGGAATACTATTTTTACTTTAAGGAAATTTAAAAAGGCACTTTAGCCAGTTTGGGCCAATCATAAAAGAAATAAGTCCTTTCCTTCCTCTCCTTCAACCATTCAAAGTGGGCGAATGTTGCAGACTTTAAGAACCTCACTTGCTCCTACTGGAATAATTGCACATCAAGGGTAGCAAAGGGTGGCCCCAGAAGCTTGGATGCTCCAGCTGTACAGTGAAGGTAGCAGAGACAGGCAGAAGCTCACAGTAAATGCACACCAGAGGAGCCTAGGTGAAATGGTCTCATCTGATTTACTGCTTTTCAAAGAAAAGATAAAATAAGAGATGAACCTGAAATAGAGTTGAGAAAAAAACCTAGACTTTGTCACATTTACAGGAATCTTAAACTCTTTGTATCCCTATGCTAATACGTAGTTTTGATATGCATGGTAGATAGCGTCAGTATTCAGGAAGGAGAATATTTGTGTTGTTGACAAAGAACAAGAGAATTCTTTATGCTTCTGATACCTCAGATTTGCTAAATGCACTGGCCAGTTCTAACTAAGCCTTGCTGGTTCAGTCAGGTAAGCCCTCTGCTCTTCCTCTCTCTCACTGTCCATTAGCCCATTCAATCACATCTTCAGGGTGATAAGCATTGAAGTTAGCAAAATTGTTTGGGTCAGCCTCTTCATTGGCAGTAGTAGAAGTGAATAAATCATAAAACATATCAGACTCTCTTTCTTTGGGGCTATCACTGCCTGGAAAAGGCTGAAATGGATTATTTACTTTAAAGGTGTCAGAAGAATCCAGTTTGTTGATGAGTGTTTTCCCAGATGACGGTGGGCAAGGTCTTGGAGTTCTTTGGTGGCAGGGCTGGGATACAACTTTGTTCTTGACCAGTGTTTCCTGAAACATTTTTTTTTGGAGTGGCCACACTGTTGACAGAGCTCAACATAGCTAAACTAAAGCATCTCCGTTGTTGAACTTTGACAATGTGGCAAAGTCTGCAAATTTACCTCCAAATGATTCATTTCCAAAAACAAGCAAAAGGGTCATTTGTGCTTCAGTGATTCCATCAATGCATTATTGCTATTTCTGGGTGCACCAAAACTGTCAGTATCTGAAGTGGCAAAAGGGTCAGTAGAAGATTGTTTGAAAAAAACAGTCAGATGCAAAGGATCTGAACTTTTGAAAGGATCATCTCCAAATGGGTCAGTTTTCCCAAAAGGATCATGGAAAGGTTTACTGCCAACAAAAGGGTCAGACTGGAAAAAAATCCAAGTTTGTATTTGCAACTGAATCAGTGAACTTGATTTTTCATTAAATGGATTTTCCTCTTTTGCATGTCTGGCATTGTCAACTTCAGGACAAACTTTCATTAACAGCTGCGGTCACCACTTCATGTTTGTCAGTCTCCTCTGAAGGTGGTTATGTCAGGACTACTTCCTACTTGAGACTCCTGGTATATGGGCTCACACTGTTGGTTGCTCTGGCCTTCAGCAGGTTCATTAAGGTTGACTGCTTTGCTGCTGCTGGTGCTGAAGCTGCAGTAATCTGTAGAGCTATTTACAAGAACACGGTGTGAGCTGTTGCATCAATTTGATTGATTACTATGGTTTCCAGGTATTTCATTTCATCAGTGTTTTGCACTGAACTGATTTCCTGTTGACTCTTGCAGGTGCTGCTGAAGAGATTCCAGCTGAGCCTTTCCTGCTCCACACTCTCCAAGCCTTGTTGTAGGTGTCTCAGCTCTTTTCTAACTTTGACCAGTTCTTCCTCATAAGTAGAGATCTGTGATTCTTGACCAGTGATTTCAGTTTTCAAAGATGAGATCAAGCGGGCCTCTTCAGTGCATTTCTGTCTGACTTCTTTGAGTTGCTCCTCTGGTTAGGCTCTATGCTCATCCAGTTCCTCGAGAAGTTCCTGTATTTGCTGCTTCTAGGTCTGTAGGTTTTGCAGATTAACATTCTCCCTTTGAGCTTCATCTTGAAGACCCTGAGCCTCAGTTGTCCTCTTTTTAATAGTATCTTCTTTCTCCTAAGGCCCTGTTCTAATAATTGTTTTCCTCTGCAGGCCAACTATTTCATTATAAAGGGTATCTAGCTCCTTAAGAAGCAGAGAAATCTACAACAGGACTTGATCCTATGATGTTCTTTTGCAAAGCTGTCCTGGCTGATAGTAGAATCACCTCAATAAGCATGTAAATAGGATCACCTTTTTATTGGCTTTTGATTAGATGAAAAGCCAAAGCAAAATGATCCTTTGAAAGCTTGCCTCAGTCCTTTGTGTCATCAAATGCCCAAATATAGGCTAGTAAGGTAGAAAGTAAACCTGTTTTTAGGAAGATTTCATGGACCTCCAATCCAGACAAAATTCATCCGTATCTTTATCTGTTTTCAGGAAGATTTCATCAATCTAGCACTCTCTTCTGGGTATACAACCCAAATTTTTCTTTTAGAAATCGGCACTAAAGCTGGAGGCAAAGACATTAGCACAGGGTTTTTCCCACTACACAATATACCAAAAAAAAAAAAAAAAAAAATGTCAACTACAGACTCATCTCTGTCAAGCATTCCATCATGGTCACTATCACTCTCAAACTCTTCCAAAGATTTCCACAGGTCCCTTAAAGTTGAACAACATTCGTTTCACTTGATCACAGGCAAAAATCTATTCACTGGGTTTAAACTATCAAAGATTATATCATATGGCCTTACCTTCGGATTGTATAGCCCATAGGAGTTCAGCTGCAGAAGTTCCACTGGTTAGCAAAGGACTATTGGTATCATGAAATCTTAGTGGAGGAGCAACCAAGTTCAATCTATTCAGCGAAACTACCAGTTCACTCTAGGCACGTACTGCGACATGCAAAGCAATAAAATATTCTTGTTTAGGATGCCTTTGTTATCTGTGTCAGTTAAATCCAAAATCTTTCCAAGTATGAAGTCTGCAAATACTGATGCTTTTAGGAAAGCAGCGGCATCTGAAGCCAACACCCTTCCAGTGTTGCCTTATCAACCTGTCGGTGCATGTGCTAAATTCTTGAATTCCTACTTGATAACTGCATCAGGGAGAGCTGGACTGGCGCAGCCATGGAGTCTCCATCATGCCCAGGAGGGGAAGGAAGGATGGGTGGACGGGAGTTTGGGGTGGGAGGAGCTCGTTGATTCTCTTTATATCAGAATTATGCTTATAAACTGCGATAATTTTGCTTTTTTGATGTTAGATTTCCACATCTTGCTGTAGATCCTCTTAACTTTTTTCAAGATTTGGAATATTTTACCTCTTGCTATAGTTTGCCATACCTGTCTATGTCTAACGGTGAGACTTCTGTCTATCTTAGACTGATCCCCTATGTTCTTGTTTTGTGGTAGTGGGGATTAAACTCGTGACCTCACGCTTGCCAGGCTCAGTCCCTCTGTGTTGTATATTGTGAAAACTTGCAAACTAAGCCTCAGCCATATTGCCAGTGTATGTTAATATCCTGTGCTTAAGAAAATTATAATTATTTAGGGCTGTTCAAAGAGCCTTTATGGTGTGGACAGAATGGAGAAGTGGTGGGGTAATGGGAAAGGAGTGTGTAGAGAATGAATCTATACCTATGGGGGACAGAACGAGATGAAAACTGTGCCTTTTATTAAGTGGCAGAAGTAAAAACTAAAATGTACTGACATTTACCTCTTCTGTTCACTTTGGACACATTAGACTTAAGATGAAACATTATTTATATGAGGAAATATTTACAGGTGAATAAAATAAAGGAACTCAATTTTTATTATTTCAGATTAATAAATAGGTACATTTTAGATATACATACTGATCATATGACCAGTATCATAGGGAATGTGTACATGATATATCTTGATTCTTCTTTCCC